GAGTGATGACCTTGACTGTAGGTTCATTGATTGAGAGAGGACGTAACCACCGTAGCCTTTCACCGGCGGCACCCCTCCCAAGGACCCCCCGGACAATTACATTAAACCAAATCAACCGAGCACGATTTAAATTATCGGGTCACAATGCAAACAGCCTGGTCGGGTTTTTATTTTCATTCGTGACCGCGCTCTGGTCTTGATTGGTTTAATTTTCGTCCCTCCAACGGGGTCATCACCTGACCTTACACGACACGCCCCTACGGCCCTGCCGCTTCTTGCCTACTATTTCGGACCTCTTATTTACACCCTCTAGGCGAGGAGACGACTCTTCATACTCTATTCATTATGGCCAGCATCCCTGGTAACGTGTTTGTATTTTCCTAGCAGATATATATGTATACAAATATATTCCAAGAAATCTCAAATTAAGTATGTACTATGATAAAGCCAGTTCTAAAATATGGTCGTGAGAACTGGACATTAACCAGTACCCTAGAAAAAAGTGTTAAAAGATTTGAGAGAAAAGTCCTTCGCACGATAACCGATCTGGGATCAGACACTAACACATGGAGAAGAAAGAACAATAAAGAACTTATCACGGTAACTGGTCAATCAATATCTCATGATATGAAGGCACGGGGGTTAACATGGGCGAGGCATGTGGCTCGTAGCAATCCATCTGGAGGCCTCTACGTAACAATGAATGCCTCAATAGAAGGAAAAAGACCACGAGGAGGCCCAAAAAGCAGATGGATAGATAGAATCAATAAAGAAGCAATAGAGCTGCGTGCAGATAAATGGAAAGAAATAGCTCAAGATAGGCAAAGATGGCCTTGCCAAGCCGCCAAAAGATCTACATGGTCTGTAAATGCCAACAGAAAAAAAAAAGTAAATAGAAAACTTTCTCACAACAACGTATCCAGAAACGTTCCTATATGGATCTATATTTATATATATATATATATATATATTATATATATATATATATATATATATATATATATATATATATATATATATACATATATAAAAGGCAATTTAACAAAATATAACTACAATATATAATATATATATATATATATATATATACATATATAAAAGGCAATTTAACAAAATATAACTACAATATATACTATATATATATATAAAAGGCAATTTAACAAAATATAACTACAATATATATATATATATATATATATATATATATATATATATATATATATATATATATATATATATATATTGTCCATCCCTCTCCCACCTTTTAGGACGAGAGATTAATCCCAGAGTTAAAAGCCTTCTGGCACTGGGAAGAGAACACATAATTATTTTACCATCTAAACTTCGGTTAATCACGTTGCCGGACAACGCTTTTTTTGCACACACGTCAGCCCGCTCTACCACCCAGCTCCATTTCAGAAAAGAACTATTGGAGATTTTTCTTTCCTAAACCTGCAGAATTATCTCAATCTCCTTAGTTATAACCAGGGATGGACCGTTCCGGTCGAATTCCACCATCGGAACGGAAAGAGGACGTAGGCAATTTTATTCCGCCATGTAATATAATGTATATTATATGTACCCTTCCTATCAAAATTCGACATTCTTCATCCTTATCTACATTCAAAACCCTCCTATTCCAATTCCTGTCCCAAAAACAGTCAGGCACCAGCTAACCTTTTATGTAAAATTACATATTATCTATAAGACCATATTCACATATAGCTCATAACCCAAATACTTATTATAGATTCGACTTCCTTTTTTTTTTTTTTTTTTTTTTTTTTAACAGAAACAGATTTTACTGTTAAGAAGAATATACATTTATTTTTTCTGTATTTTTTATTTTTTCTAAAAGGGTTTATTTATATTTTAACATTGTACATTGTTTTAAGTACCTTAGTATGGTTTCAAGAGTTTTTATATAGATTTTTTTATTTTATTTTGTATATAGTATGTATAACCAATATTTTTTTCTTTTCTTTTTTTTAATAACCTATCTTTATCTTAATTTGTTATGTTTGTTTTTATCTGGCCAGATGTAAAATTTTAATTTCTGTACTTTTTTGTTATTCTGAAGGGATTTCGTCCCAGAATAAAATTATTTTTCTATTCTATTCTATTCTATATATATATATATATATATATATATATATATATATATATATATATATATATATATATATATATATATTTTATTGAGATTTACAACTGTATTACATGGAAAATACAATAAGTAAATGTGACATTAGTAACATGACATGTACAGCATGAAGAGAAACTACCCATTGGTAGAACTCAAATTAATGTATATTTAAGATCAAAACTTAGACTGCTTTAGGTTTTGACGGTTAGGTGATCGAGAGAAGTCTTAAAAATAGTACAGAAGCAATTTCTAAGAATTAAGTGCAGCAAGTGGATTAGCAGAATTGTGAAATGAACAACAACGACTTCGAAAATGAATTACAAAGACTATATTTAATTTAATCTTCTTACATCAAATCAAATTAGATTAATATATAATCTATTTGAATTAAGAATATACTATACTTGATCATCCTAGGGAATATAACTGATGAAACATAAATGAAAAAAAAAGTCTTTATTATTTTTGGTCATACGCAGAATAAATTATAGTCCGCGGTACAGACCCCTTCCCTTTTCATCAAATAACTAAGACTCCTATAAAACTTCTTGAGTTGTTTAATTTTATCATAGCCTACAACTTTTTTATTTATTAAAATCCTCGGGAATTTCGGGTACCGAGATATTAAAAACACATGAACATCCATTTACTTTCAACTTGAATCGTATGATAATTTGATTACAAAATCGAGAAAAAAAAGTGGTCAGTAAAAATATTGAGCCATCCTCGTACGTTCTAAAATAACAAGGTTTTGTAAACAATAATTCCCAATATTTTTGTAGTCCACCTTTCTTCTCGATTTTGTAATCAAATTAATTTACGGCTCGAAAATTTAACACCTTGTTAAATTGACAAATTTTACCGACATCCAATTTGAAAACGCCCTATTTTCCAGTATTTTCAAAAATACAAAGTTGTAGATTACGATAAAATGAAGCCATTCACAATTTTTTAATCGAATATTAATAATTTGATAAAAAGGGGTTTGCACCGCGGATTATTGGATTTTAAGATAAATAATATAGCAATGTGGCCAACTATGTTTAACTTAATTTATTCATATTCATTAAAACAATAAGTATACAGCAGATCTGGACGAAAAGTACTTTAAAATACAAAGTATTTTGTTTTCAAAAATACAATTTTAATCACCTAAGATTTCAATTAGTACTTACTTCAAAATTACTTCACCTAATTATTTAATTTAATAAATATTTAAATTCCAAATACAAAATATTTTTTCTCTAAACAATTTAAATATTTGGTGATTAAAATTGTATTTTAGAAGCACAAAATACTTAGTATTTCAAACAAAGTATTTTAAAATACATTTTTGCCCAGGTAGGGTATTGAGGTGGAGAAAGAAAGATATGTAGAAATATAATCTGGAAGAAAACATTTTAAAATACATAATAATAACAAAAACAACACAAAGTGTTTTGTGTAATTAGAGAAAAATTAGTAAATGATAAAATACAATGTATGATAACATCCATCATACTGGTGGAGCAAAAAGTGGTTGAAAAGGAGAGATTTTAAAGATGAAACAATGGATGCATGGTGTATTGCAGGAAGAGAGCTTTAGGGGAAGGTGGCTGGAGATATGAAGGACTTGTCAAACACAGTAGTTCGGTGGATGGAAGGAAGAAGTCAGAAAGACAGGATCCGATAGAATGGCATAAGGTATTTCAAATGATTGATTCATAAAACATACATTAGACTAAACATCTAAGGCATCTTTTTCGTAATAGATAACCAACCTTATTAGCCATCTTGAACGAAAACCTCTCCCTCCCTCCAAGAAGTACAGTAAGAATGATAGGATTTGCCAACAGGCAAAAGTTGCGGGTCTATGCTGAAATAAGTAATGTCAATGGATCTATACCAACTGTTCAAAAGCATTATAAAAATATATTAGAAGTTATGAAAAAATATATATCAGTTTGAGTATCAGTCGATGGTACATAAAAATCTAAACAATTGTTTGATTTTTTTAGTCAAAGTTCAACACAGCACATAAGTTCAGCCCTCAGAATCACAGGGTTATAGATAATAAAAATATAGAAAAAGTGATAGAAACAAAATAAAAAGTTAATATATAAGAACTATTTACTTTGAGCGAAAAAAAGTATGTAAATTTTATCAGCACTAGTAAGTGTTGCATTAATCTCAAAACAAAAGTTTTGAGATCAACCTTCAATAAGATATTTGCTATTTAATTATTTGTTAAGTTTTAATTATGTACTTCTTTTTTTTTTAAATTATATGATATTTTTCTCTTTAAAAATAATATTTGTTTTCATTCAGTGAGACACTTACAAATATTGGAGAGTATTGGATGAAAGGTACAGTTTTTATTTCCAGGTCACTATAGAATTAGAAGGAATGAGCTAGCTGATACCATAACGAAAAAAGCCTTTTTTTTTTTTTAATTTTTCTTTTTTTTAAATTTTAAAGTTTTCTATCTTCAAACGTATTGTTAATTTTTATATGGTGTAATATAAATACTGCACAAGGGCTAAAATTATCCATCAAATGTTGAAAAGGCCACAGTTATAATTTTCATTCATTCATTGTTTTAATCATGTTAATTTTTCTTAAAATTTAGCAAAATAATGCAATAACGTGTTAGATCAATACAATTGACAGTCGAGTGTATTGGCTATGGAACATCTAAAAACTTCGAAAACATAATGTTGTTACAAATAGTCATGAGTAATGTTCTAACTAAATCATTTAATAATTTAGACAAGCAGTAGAATAGTCTATAGAAATATATGATCTATAATTGAAATCTTATACAATATATTCTATTTCTTTTTTTTTTTTCATTATTGTTTGTTATTTTTTGTAGAATCAAGCTAGAAGAAGACTATTCAGAAAACACAATAATTTACAAGGGGCAGAATGATATACATGGAAATTACAGAAGGGCAAAGAGATCAACTGTAATTAAAATACCTTTAAAAAACTACAAGAATGTATGAACATATTTTTAATAAAGTCCTTGAATATTCAACAAGAGGAGAATATGAGTAACTACTAATTAAAAGCGTTTCTTTGATATATTCATTTAATATTTTCATTATGTAAACTACTACAACGAAAATAAAAATACTTACCTAACTCTGAGGAGAATGTTTAAAAAAAGAGAAATTCTAAATATGGGACCTCCAACTAGGTGTTTTTCAAAATCTTTATATATTATTTCTCAAAGGTATTTTTGTTTTTGTCACTATGCCATATCTTCGTCAATTCTTTATAAAATCCAAAGATTAAGGCCTTATTTTGAAGATGAGATACTAACATGCCACTACAGACTTAAAATACATCATAAGATTTGTGGGATAGTTAACGATGAACTCTACCATTTGTGCAGAAACTGCCCTACACTATATTACAGAATATGACTAATCTGCATCACTCAGATGACAGATTTCTGAGTTTGGACGGAATATGAGAATAGGAATCTTCCTCCATAAAATGGTCCTGGCTTTTGAACTTCATCAGAAGAACAAAAATGTTTGAGATAGAGATGAAGGTGTAATAGATCATCATTAGTATTATTGTCTTTAGGGGTTGACAAAAAGGACCAATAGGCCAATTTGTCGGACTTAGTCCCCCACCAATACCAGTACCAGTACCCTCATTTGGAAGACCTTCTTCTCCTTCAGGTGGGGAAAATAGTCACATACTCCAAAATTTCAGGAAAAAAAGTTATGAAGGAAAAGAAACTTTATTTGAGAATAATTCAAAAAGTATGCATTTTTTCTTGAATTTACCCATGATTATTTGAAAGATTACTGAATTCTCTACAAAAAAAAAAATCATCGAAATTGGACAATTTATTGCAAAGATACAGCCTATAGTAATGTACACATGCGTTTGTTCATTATCATGAATGCAGTAATGTGATTGCAATGAGAAAAAGAAAATTATTCCATCTATCTCATAAAAAGCAAATCAGTCATATTCTGTAATACAGTGTAGGACAGTTTCAGGTGCATTTCTGCACAAATGACTGAGTTCATCGTCAACTATCCTGCAAACCTTTAGTAACTTATCTGTATTATATTGTCCTTTGTTCACTGACTAATATGCAATGAGAATTATTCGAATGGGCCAAGTATTATAGTATTAATTCTTATCCATAATAATAAAGTTAAATTATAATTTGGTTATTATTTCAAATTGTTTCACATCTCTGTGACAAATCGATACAGTTGGAAAATTAACCTTTAATAAGTTGTAATATTTCTTCATGTATATGGATGATTCTATGATAAAAGGACCTTGTCCCAAGCCATTTTGGTGACCTTAATGAAAAAAATAAGTACTAGTGAAAAGAAGTACTAGTGAAAAAAAACACTAGTACTAGTGAAAAAAAAAATCTGTGCTCAGCTTGGCCTTGTTTATTGTAACCGTTGATGCTGACAAAATATTTCTAATCCATCATGATTAAAATTCAAATTTTAGAATCTATTTGTCGTACATCTGGCAGTTTTCGAAAGTTAACAGTAACTGTGAATTCTATTACAGCTACCAAACAAAGGTAATACGAAGGTTTTAAGTCATTCATCTGGTGTCCATTTTATTTTCTGAAACAACTGAATGAAAAGGAATAGGACATATAACACAGCTAGAATTGATATCACGATTTCTCATTTTCATATCAAAAACACATCTGTTCTTAAGAATTCGGTGTGCAATCGTACAGGAAAATTTTTTTTAGTGAATGGTAGTCATCTGGTGAAGCTCTTGAGTAAAAAAAACACTGGTAAATATTCAATTTGTTATCAATTTAGAGTACATTATTGTTTAGTTATAGGTTTGTTTTTATTTTGTAAAAAAGGTGTGCAACTTTATAAAAATTATAATTTTTCTGTAATCAATTAGGTGCATCACTAGCTTTATAATGTAAATATACAACCTATAAAAGAATAATTATATAACACTGAATTAAGAGCCATACAGGTACAACAACAAAAAAAATAAGTCAATGAAAAATTTAAAATAAAAAATATAACTGCAAACTGTTGGTGACTAGAATAAGATATAATTGATAACATTACATATATTATATAATAAATATCTGATGAGGATGGCGTGACTATTTCTTAGACATCTTTGATTAACTTTCCTATTCTTTTAAAAACATAGTTCTGATATTTTTCTTTCCAAAACTTGTTCCACATTAAGAATTTCTTCCTAGTCAAGTTAACCAACTCCCATTATCCATCTTTCTCAGGATGCATCAATTTCATTTCTCTATTCTCCTCTTTTATTTTACTACCTAAGTTCTTTTAAAAGCCAGGAAATTAATACATATTTTCATTTAAAATCTAAGAGATAACAAATTTTAATTATTTCTAAATAAAATCATATTTTATTTACTGGTATATACCAGACTATTTCATTTATTATATTTACTATGTAGATGATCAAAATAGTTTAATAAGTACATTTTTGTAGTACCAGTACCATGCAAAAGTGAAATTTGGGAGCAATAATCAAGAATACAAAATAATGTTTGATACAGGATCTGGTTTCACTTGGATACCAAAGAAACACTCGGAAGAAAATACGTGTGCCAAGAAGTACAGTAAGTAGAAATAAAGACAATAAATATAAAATAATTTTACAAATTAAAATTTTTAATCAGAAAAATTAGGAATCTAAAGAATTGAATATGTGTTTCAATAATTAAATAAGTAAGACCTAGAGCTACTCCAAACACAATTAGCCTTGTTTAAACTAATCATTTGACTGAAATAAGTTTGTTTTTCATTACTTTTCTCCTGTATATCTCCATTTATATTATTCAATGAACCAAAATTTAATATTAATCAAAACCACATAATATTAAAAAAAAATTAAGGGTCTTGGGTTCAGTACTATTTAGGGAAAGTACTGTTTCAAGGCCAACGGTGGTGCAGAGAGGGGATTGGACCAGGATCACCTTCAACCGTTAGGTTTTCTCCCTCAATCAATTATATAATTAAGGGTACCCACATTGTAGAGGCTGAGTGTGCCACAGGAGGGTCTCCTACCCCATGGTCGCCCCACGACAAATGAAACAGAATAAATAATTTTTCAGCTGTGAGCCAGGATTCGAACCTAGGACCTTGAACATTGGAGGCTTAGTGCCCTACCACTGAGCTACCCTGCTCCTCCATATAATATTAACCATGTAAAAATATTCTTTTAAAATAATTGTTTTCATAAAAAAATTTAATTATAATAGCATTATTTCTTACTTAAACAAATAGAATATTTAATTTTACATTTAGTTATAAAATTTTAATTTGAAACTAAATCAAGTTATGCAATATTTTGCTCACTCACTATATTATATTTAAAAAAAAAAAGATTTTAAAGTTTAAAAATCAAATCAAATTTATTTAAAATAAATGTCAACCAACAGATTTTTTATTTCTACATAATACTTAATGATTTTCTCTATTTTAAGAGAAACAATAATAATAACTTTATAATTAATATATGAATATTTTATAATGTAATAACAACACTTTTGATCTCGAACAGCTAAATATCGATTTATTAATATAAAGAACTTGCAGAAAAATCTCTTTCAAGATATTCTGAATTAGGCACCATAAACTGTCACCATTTTTTGAAATATATCACTGTTGAAAAGAGAGAAGAATATGTAAGTTATTTACACTGTCTACTCTGGTTGTACCACATAAAGTTATTTTTTAGAAAGCAAACACAAACAAAATATAATTGAATATTATTTTATTTTAATAACTTTAAACAACTTTCCTAATACATAATTTTATTGTGTTCCCTTTTACTAACCACCAGGAGTGTGAAAGGGTATAAACCCCAGGAAGGAATTTTGTATTTTATCTTTTTCAAATCTTGTAGGTTTAAAAAATATCCCAAGGATTTAAAAGAACAAATCAGTTGTTGCATTTTCAGTCTAGCAAGTATTAAATAAGTTCAAAATTTACAGATTATTAGATTGGTATCGTGTCCTATCCCAAAATAGACAGTTCATGAGGTATAACCAGATATACATAAATTGATAAATTGTTACAACAAAAATTAGTATAAATAGTTTCATATAAAAGGCAGATATCTATAATTAAGAGAAAGAAAAAAGACATTTTTTGTTATATGGCTTCAATTTAAACAATTTTTTTTTCTATAATTAATCTTAAATATCATTTTAAAAAAAACATCAGAACTGGTTTAAATCAAAGCTGTATAACCAGAATTGGCTTTTCCTTAACTTTCTGAAAGTTACAGACGTTTGCATTTGATAAGAAACCACTTAATATGTGTTATATATTGTGGTAAATTATTAAATATTTTCAACTTTTTGATTTTGATTTGATAAAAAAGGCCTTGTAATTTTAATAATTTAGACTGTACCTCTTCACTATTTATTAACAGTACATTACACGGGTGGGGAATCTTTTTATCGTTAGAGGCCATAATTTGGTTAGGCAGTGCTAATGGAGGCCGAAACATTTTTTTATATTTTAGAGTTACTATTTTTTGTTATCACAAAATACACACACCCATCCATATACCTGCATATATCCAATTTAATTCTATTACTTTTCGTAACCTAAATAATTGAATATTAATTATACCTAGCATTAAATTAATAAATATTGCACAAAAATGTTTGGAGGTCGCATGCGGCCCCTGGGGACGCAGCTAGCTAACAGAGGCCACAGATTTCCCAAATATGTTATATTAGGTCCACATTAAGTATAATAAATCTAAATTGCTCAAAATGGAGTGATAGATGCATTAATAAATGGTGATGTGATTAAAACTGAATTATTAGCTACTTATTTGTTTTAATCTTTTTTTTTTTTTTTGTGAAGAACACTTTGAAAGTAACACCTTTGAAGACTTCCACACAGTCATGACAACAGTATATGTAAAAGGAGAGGCAACTATGAAATTGGGAAGTGATTCAGTCACAGTAAGTTAAAAAAGAAAGAAAAAACATTTTTAATTCATTTTTAGAATAAACTAATAAAAATTTAACAAACCATAAGGAACTTCAAATTCATAAATCATAAAGTACATGATCACAATAATTTAAATAGGAAATATTTTGAGCAGTGAGTGAATGATTCATAGTTTTTTTATCACACCAAGTCCTAATGATATGTGAATCTGTCAATTCCTTAAATAATTAATTTTGTAGTAACTGAACTAAATTCAAGAAGGTGGATGGTATAGAGTCAGTCAGAAATGAATGAATGCATAAATAACTTCTAAACATTCTCCTTCTTAAACTACCATACCATCAACAACTTACATTCACAATATCAATTAAATTTAGTTCCTATTTTCAATAGATCGGCAACATGGTGGTGAATAATCAAACCCTTGGTCTAGCAATTAAAAGTGATTGTGAAGGGAACGAATATGAAGGTATCATTGGTTTGTCATTCCTCTCCATTAACCATTCATCAATTATACAGAATATGCTGTCTCAAGGCCTCATCAAAGAACCTGTCTTTGCATTCTATCTAAATAGGTAAGAAATGAACAGTACCAACAAACATAATTAACACTACATTTTTTCTCTGTACTATCAGAAAAAAAATTCTTAAAAAGATCTATAATAAAAGTAATACTCAAGTACTAATTAATTGTGAAAACAGGAAACAATTTAAAAGTTGACACAAAATATATATATATATATTTAAGAAATTTTAAAGGTTCTAAAACTGTAGGTAAAGAAAGTAATAAGAACATTTCACATCACATTTTTTTAATTTTCACTGATCCAAATTTTTTATTCCAAGTTTTCAACAAACATACATACTTTAAGTCCCTAGAATCCAAATATCCAAGTCTTTCTAAATGAAGTGAGTATGTGCAAAACTTTTTTGAATAAATCAACTTAGTGCCATTTAATTCCATTGATTTCACACATTTTTACAACTTTTTTTCAAATAAGGCTTTAAAGATTTTGAATGAACTAATTAGAAGAACAAGTCAACTGTAGATGGAAATTTTTTTTTTTCGACTTACTTAACCAAATATATTTAGTACACAGAATTTTCATTGTTTTTTAATTGTCTTAACTTTGTTTTAGTATTATTCTTTTTTTCTTTTTTTAAGGTTTTCTAACTTTTTAAAAAAATTAATTTCTAGCAAAAATTGTGTGATGCATCACTATTTTTTTTTTTATAAAACAAGGCAAATTTCTGCTCATTCTTTAACAAACTTCAACTTAATTAATATGGTCTTAAACTTTATTTAACAAGGAAGTTTTCCTAAAAATTGGGAATCTGTAGAACAATGGGAGGCTTATAAAAAAAAAAATCATGAATGATTCATCATCAATAATTTATTTTTTCTTTCAGAAACCATGGGAGTACAGACAGTGAATTAACGATTGGAGGTTACAATACAGACCACATTAAAAATGATCAACTGAACCCAATCCAAGTAACTGATCCTGAACATTGGCAGGTACCGATTGAGATGTGAGTAGAAAAATTATATTTTGTTGAATTGGTTAAACCTGTTGTGTTTGACATATCTATGAAAAATAAGAGGCCTACCAAATCAGTAGCTACCAAATTTTTTGAGCTAAACTATTCAACTTTTGTATAAAAACCGTGGATGCATGGGAGTACCAATAACTAAATGCGTGTTTAATTCTGGAGAGAACTAAGACACATTATTTTTACAAATTTGTTTACTGACAAATACATGTTCATATCCAAACTTGACATGCTTCAAAGTTCATCCACATTAGCCAAAAATATGATAAAGAATGTCTAAATATCATTATTATCCATTCCAATTAAAAGAATCTGTTGAATCTTAATAAAGAGTCTTATTCATGAATGATATCAAATTAATTCACAAATACGTTTTATTAAATTTTAATCCATTCAATGTTTTAAATATTTTAATGACAGTAAGTCAATCCCACAACGGTCCATGAACTGCCTAATCCACAAGTGAAGATATAGCTCATTTCCTAACTTATCTTCTTGAGAGAAAGTGTACTTCAATCACTACATTCATCCATCACCAGTTCAATAAGAAATTTGTGATATTTAATCAGTTTTAATTTAATTCACATTGATTTATAAGTTATAATACTTTTCAGGGTGCGCTTTGGCAAACAGGTGATTGCCGTTTACCAAAAAGCAATTATAGACTCAGGCTCTTCATTAATAGTTGCACCTTTCAAATTTCTCCAATGCTTCATTGACATCATTAGAAAATCTTATAATATTGATCTTAAAAGACAAGAGAACGGCTTGCTTTCAGTAAGTAATAAAGTTAATTTGTAACTAAATGCAATATAAAAACCCATCAAATTTAAGAATAAGCAGAGAATATTATGAATAAAGTAACGATGAAATATTAGTATTTGCATACATTGGATAAACAGAATTTTCTTAGAGCATTATTACTTTCACTTACCTACATGTGAGAGTAAGTAAGGGAAAGTATAGCGATCATTAAAATTTTTAAACTGAGTTTTCAATGGAGGTTCCTTAAGTCCAAATAATCAAGTCTCACAAAATGGTCTGTGTGTGTTGATGTGTATGTTAACAGTCTAGCTCAAAAATGAAAATTCGTACAAAGTTAAGTACATGCCTGGGATATTACTGCAACTTATTCCTTAAAATTGGATAACTGGAAGTGCCACTTTATATCATCAATTTCACATATCTTTACAATTTTCTCAAAAAACGGCTTAAACAATTTTGATTAAACTCGATGTATCAATGTATAATTAAATAGTCTTTAATATCAATTAGGTCTTATACCCCTTGATGTAGCTTAACAGGGCTTAAATGCCCAATGTTTAAAATTTCTTCCTCTACAAAGTACCTTTAATTTAGTTTATTTTAAATAATTAACCATTTCTCGTTGTTAGCAGTAATGAGAAAAGGCTAATAAACATAACCTTTGAAAGAATTTAATAATTGAATAAAGGAGAAAAATGTTTGTTTAGGTCAAAAATTGTGTCTTTGATTTGATGGAATACAGTATAACTTACATGGAATACACCATTACTATGGCCATTACCTAATTATACATAACTACAACATAATATTCACGAACCAATTTTTATTCATTTTTAGTTTAAAAGGAATCAATCCCTTAAACTACCCAACATTACATTTGTCTTGGGAAATAATCTTTACACTCTAACTGAGAAAGACTACACTATTGAAAATGTGAGTATTTTTTCATTTAAAATGAAGTTTTCAATAATAAGATATATAATTTTCATCTAATTAATTATATTATTATTTATGGATTGTGTGAAGTTGTGAATATCATTAAAGTAATACTGTTAGCTTATTCAACTAAATTCCTTTTAGAAAAATTATATATATATATTTTTTTTTACACAATAACATTATTTTCTTTTTGTTTCAGGATCAAGATATTGAGATCAGTATTTCTTTTATAGATTACAGTTCAGATACTTGGATTCTTGGAGATTTATTCTTACAAAAATATTATTTAGTTTTTGATTATGGTAGAAGAACAATATCTTTTCCAAAAACAAGGTATTTAAGCAAAGTATTAAGATTGTAAAATAAAAAATTGTTTTTCTAAAAATTAAGCTCATATATGCATATAACATTTAATGAAATATGTAAAACTATGCCAAATTGAAACTTTATACTTGCCTTCAAAGTTTTGTAATTTACAATTTACAACACAATGCTTAATTTAATAAGAAACATACATCAATATCAACAATAAATTATTTTAATTTTCAGGTTTATAGATGGAGATTTGTTAAAGTAAGTACAACTTAAACATTATAGTTGATATTATTTAGATTTTACAATTCAAAACTTAAAACAACAATAAAAACTCATTTTTACAGGTCAATTATTGATCGACATTTGCCTTCAAAGTAAGTAAAAATTTATCACTTTAATTATTAACATCTCGTTTAAAAAAAAAAAAAAAGAACTCAAATTGCGAATGCATTATTATGAATTGCAATTTGTATAAATTATAAATTATTAAGTAGCTAATCACTATGAGCAAGTACAGTTATTACAAGGAGTGAGGTAGTTCAGTGAGGAAGATAATTATTTAATCTTTACATCAGTCATGGATTGACCCTTGAGTCAAGAAAATCTCTTGGAGAACATGCAGCCTCCATAAAAGTGGGTATTTTTAGTTGGAGAAGAATCTTGGTATTTAAGCTGCAATCTTCCCCAAAACACCTCTTTATATTTTAGGCAAATAATGTACAGAACCTGAAAGATTCTTTAAAGGTTGTACTACCAAAAACTACCAGTTCTTTGTAGTTTTTTTTTTTTTTATCTCCACAATCTGGAATAAATAAAACTGGACATGAAAAAAATTAGGGATGAAAAAAAGTAACCAACCAATCAGTTACTTCAAATTAACTGAACCAGTTATTATGGGACTTCAAATATCCAATTAATTGGGAAATAAAGCCAATATTTTTCAATTAGACTTGCTAAAGCTACTCTTGGCTTGACTAAATGGACTCGTATATTACTTCCACCATTTTTTTTTTCGTTCAATCACTATCATACATAATAGCATTACTTGTTTAAAGCGTATAATATAATAAAGTTATTTCACGGAAAAATTTGTTAAGTATATCTTTACAATGAAAATGGGGTGGCTGAACATGTTGAAATGAGGAACGGAGTGCGAAGAGAAACCAAGGGCCTCAGGTAGTACTGGCCTTAAAACAGGATATAATTAAAATCCATAAAAGATAATATTTTTTTTAAACTATCAAAAACACTTTACAATATTTTTACTTAGTCTAATATTTTTTTTTTTTTTTTTTTCAGAGGGAATTCTATGAATATTGTGAGAATCCAAGAAAATATTTACTTATTGATATGTTTATTCATTATTTTCAAGTTAAATTTTATTTTAACAAGTTAGTATAAACCCATTGGTTACCAATTTCGTTCCAAACAGACTCTGAATTTCTTAAGTGGACATTACTCAAAATTGATACAGCAAACACAGCTGTATCAATTATTTTTTACAATCTCTTGAAATAATGCCATCCATGTCAACCATTGATCCTATAACACCTTATGAAAATAGTCGACTAGTTTGTAACAACTTACGCAACCAACTTATAACTAGTTTGTAACAAAGGACATCCCACCAAATAGCAAAACATCCTACAACATGTTTTTTTCTAAGCATCTAAAATTAGAAATGACCAACCTCACCAATTAAATCATGGAATTTATTCAAGAATATAGCCATCTTAAACAAATGCCACAAAAAAATGGAGGCAGTTTTTAAATTTAATTTTTTAAAAATAGTTGTACCTTGTTATGAAATGCCATTCAACTAAAAACTTTAAAAAAGATTCCTCGTTAACTTAAACACTTACCATTATCGAAGTTTAAAAAAAATATATATAGACATATCAGTAATTATGGAATTCTACAAAATTTATGTTTGAAACATAAAATATAAAAATCTTAGAGTTTTACATTACAATTACAAGTACTAAAATGAAAAGGTTTTTATGAGAATAATTCTAAGATTGTTTCTTGAGACTTCTAATAACTCATATCATAAGCAATCACAAACAAAATCATTTTAGAGTGAGAAAATCTAATTTTATTAAACGATACAAATTATTAATTATTACCAAATTACTACTTTCTCCTGGTATAGGGAATCATCTTTTATATCAGCACTTAAATTAAAAAAGAGAAGAAAAATTAAATAAAATAAACATTAATAATTAAACAACAACAAAAAAAAATTGTTTTATTTCACTGAAGAAGTTCTTGTTTTTCTTTTTTTAAGCTTTGAAATGTATTTTTCCAGGAGCTATTGCAAATACTGACTCAACTGTGCACTTAAGAAATTCATTTAATAGATTTTTTTTTTTTTTTTGACAAATATTCATAAAACCATAACCCCTTTTACTAAGACTTACTGAATCAACAAAAATTAATTCACCAATAGGACATTAGCAAGAAAATAAATTTAAAAAAATATTAAAAATTACTGACTTTAAAAACGTGACTTGACTTACTTGACTTGTTTTATGACCGACTATCATACCAAAATACCAAACTGACAAAGAATATTTCAGATTATAAAATATATTATTGCAATTACTGTTGAAAATAAGATTTGTTATTCAAACAAAATGGGTTTATATTACATTCAAAATGAACAATATTAAATAACTGTATAACATAAAGATTATTAAAACATTTGTCAAAGAATTGTTCTCTTTATTCTTTACCTACTACCAGAAATATCTATGAACTAGCATGGGATAATAAAACCCACTGGTGGTCTTTTGCGTTCTATTGAGGCATTTATTGTTTTGTAGAGGCTTCCAGATGTATATTATCAAATAAAGAATTAAATTAGTTTTGAAAAATATAACTTTTTTTCTTTCTTTAGTATTTGGTATGTAGTGTCATTTTGTTATGTTATTTCTCAACAATTTCCTCTTGTAGTGGCATTCACTTAATAATATATTTTAGTTTAAATGTGTTTATCTTATTTATTTATTTTTTAGTTTATTACATTTAGCTTGAAGCCCATTAAGTTGCAGTTAAATTACAATTTAGTTTGCATAACATTAAATATTTGGACCTCGGAGGTAAACTGACCTTAGTCATTTTAACCAACATTTCAGTAGATAGAACAGTTTAAATATGATTGAAATATTTTTTTAAACTATAATAATATACATTTTACCTAACAAGGCTGCTAAACCTTATTTTATGCATAATATAGCTACAGCCAAAGTGTATCGGCTTGAAAGTACCTAATGTAGGTAAATGGGTGGCAAGATGTAACTATCTTTCCCACCTGATCGATTATGAGCAAAAAAAAAACTTCAAGCAGATTTGAAAAGAACCTGTCACAGGGCAGAAGAGAACAAATTCAAGTTGAATGTGTAGAAAATAAAAGTGACTGTAATCTGTGCCTTCAATCACCTCCTAATAACTGTTCCTAATATTCCAACATTGTTCCTAAAACGTAATCTCATACAATTCTATCCTACCAGTAAAAACCTATGAATATCCTTAGATAAAACAAATTCTCAGATAAATCATGTATCCAATTCCTCACATTGTGTCTTTCCCACCTCAAAGCGACTAAATTACTTCTGCCTGGTTATTTGCTTAATATTTCCCCACTTTGACTACTCTTGTTAGGTAGGTGGGGAGTCTATGCAGATCTCAAGGCAAAACTAAAGTTTTTCATAAATCACTTTAGGCAACTCATCTTTGGGATCCTAAGCCACCTCTGTCACCTGTTTTTATGAAGAGCTTAAGAGACTTTATTCTTACAACCATCATAAGTATTTCCAACATATCCAAACCCACCAACCATCATAAATCTCTGAGCTCCTTCAATTTAATTAGATCCTCTGTTCATTTTTGAAATATGAATTCTCGGTCTTCAGATTTAGATAAAATGTATTACAAACCGTGGTTTTTGACAGTTCTTTCCTTATCTCTGCTAACATCCATTGTTCCAATACCCTCTCCACCTTATGGTGGACATATAACTACAATACACCTCTAGGATATGTTCCTTCAGAATAAAACAAAGATAACAATTTTTGGGAGTTTCTAAATCTAATATTATATTATAAATGAATATAATTTATTTATTTTCACTTTTTTTTTTATTTGACTGAACACGCCAACCAAATTCTCTTCAATATACATACAACAGTTAATTATTAATCCACTATAATTATTTCTATTCTTTTAATTTGTTATTCCATTTTATTTTACTCAGAGTCTCTAACTCCCAAAATTCTTTATCTGTGCTTTATTCAGAAGGAACATATCCCAGAATAAATAATGAATGTATTATAATTACAACTTGAATAATGCACTGAATGTACTAACATGTCTTTTGTAAAATAGCACCATGTCATACAGAAATTTACCTCTCAGGTCCAAATTGTAAAAAAAAAAAAATATCATCAATAAAAACAACCAAGCAATATATTTCTGAAAAAATAAATTTGTGATTTTTTTTTAAATTTATTAAATATTAAAAAATCCATCTATATTAATAAAGGGGAAGAGCTTTGGTACTGTTCTTTAATTGTTTTCCAAAGTTCTTAATTATTTATAAATAAAATAAAAACAAACTCTTAGTATATTTTTTTTATTGACAATGATTAACAAATACAAAAAGAACAAAGTGTAAAATTAATCACTTCACATCACAAGCATTTACAAATGTATGAAAAACTGGATTAGCACAATAACTATAAAATGTACAGTTAATACTAGAGTGTTAGCAGATGGAAATAAAAACAATAACAGTGTCAAAATTTACCATGCACAGAATGATGCAGACAATGAACCTTACCTTCTGAGGAATCCTCCAATGTATATAATAATATAATCACAAACTTATACTTATTTACAAAAATACATAGAATACTGCATAAGCCCAGAATCACCTACAGAAGCCCAAAATTGTTCTATTCCTCCACCATCCTATATAAACATTCATCAACAGATTTTTACACACTAATTGACCTGTTACAAAGGCTACAGTCATTTTCATCACTATGACTATCAACATATTAAAATATAATCTACAAATAGTTTTCATCCAATAAAACAATATCTTTTAATTTACAGAAATGTCAGTATTTGAAATTACTGTTCTATATAAAACTAAATGAATCCAATTATTTAAGTTCAAACCAGGAGTTTTGTGGCCAGAGCTATATTGACTGTTTATTTTAAAGGAGTTTTCATTGGTATTGATTGTGAATAAAAAAGGAGATCTAAACTTCCTAGTAAACAATATGTATCAACAGGTTCAATATTTAATGTTCCTTCACATTGCACTACATTAATAACAGTCTTCATAAACAAACAAACTGATAAAATACACTACATCAGTTTGAAACAGACTAAAATGATATTAATTTTTTTTTTCTTAAACTTAGAATTATAAGCACCATATAAAAAACATGCATTTTTCTAATGATAAGAGGTATTTTAATTATCAACAATTAACTATCACAAATAAATTATACATCAAAAGATCCTCAATTATTGAAGAAAATTAAAATAAATTAATGTTCAGATCTAATATTAACTAAAAGATCCATGTAAAATCATTATAACATTATTAATATTCAATGAAAGAATTAATGGCGTGAGAATACAACAAAATTTCACACTAATTTTTTATAACAAAAACAATATCATGAAACTAAAAATTTAAAATAATAAAAAATAAATACTTCATAAAATTATTTAAAAAATAAGGTATGTAAATAATAACTTTTTTGTACAACAATAATATAAATAATCTAATAATAATGAGAACAATAAACAGAAATTACTTCATTGATAGTATCTTTATATTTACAATTATTCATTCATCCTAATCAATGACTATACAATAATATTAATTTTAATTTTTTCGAAAAAAGTTAATTGAATCCTGATAAAGAGAAAACAAATTTAAACAGGACAAATAGTAAAGAAAGAGAGAGATGACTTAGGTTCCAACTCTCAAGGTTTTGGGTTCAGACACATAAAATTTATTTTCACTTCTTTTAGCGGTCATAAAAAAATTATTTTGGGTTCCTTTAGCTGTTGTAAAAATTTACAACAGTTCTATAAGCAATTATTGGGAATATAAAAGTTGTTGATAATAATACTTCCTAATTAAGAATCAATAAAACAATCTTCAAGGATTGTATTTTGTTTTTTAAGTGGAAATAAGTTAAAAACAATAAAACATAATCTTAAAGAAATATGTCATTCCAAGGCGAGTAATAAAACTAAAAACCTTTAAAATAGAATGAGATCAAACCTTAATCTTAGGAGAATTAACTAATGGATGGAACGCTGATCTTGAAGAAGAAAAATAGTATAGATTACTATTAAGGGAGGCAGATCCAACCCCTGATTAAACAATTTAACTAAGGTTAGACAAAAAAAATATTTCTTTTACCTATGACCTTTTCTCTATATCACGTTTACTCATATGCCTCAATAATTCAAATTCATTTGCTTGGTATGGAATAAATCCCTCAGATATGGTTGCTGCGCTGGGCCAGTTCTAACCAATAAACTTACAATAAAAGGTAGAAAAATAAAATAAACTGGTCTTAGGCTTGGGATAATCAAGAATAAAAGTAACATAGACACTCCAATGTTAAAAGAAACTGTGATTTTTTTTCCAGATAGTTATGTTCTGGAAGAAGTCAATTTGGATTAAATCCAAATTTAAATTAATACCCTGATCCTACAATTTGCCCAAAGAGATCCTCAATCAGTCATTTAAAAAAGGATAAAGGATAAAAAAAAAAAAGGCAAGTATCGTAGTACAAGAAAAGTAAGATAAACTTAAGTGGTACAGCTTCCAGAAACTGTAGATAATTTTCAAACTGACTATATATAATACGACACTGTAGTTCATTTTTAATTAGAGTAAAAATTAAAAAGAGCATGTTTACCTATTAAGCTGAATAAATATTGAAAACAAAAAAATTGTAATCATCAATCATGAAAATTCCATTGCTTTAATGGAATACTATTGGTATCTATATTAGAATAAATATTTGGTTCATATATTTATGCATACTAAGCTATTTAATTAGTGAAGCCCAGACTCACTAAGCGGGTTGTTGCATAAACTATGTACGTATACTAATATTTCACACCTGTGAATGTTCAATAATAACCTAATTCAAAGCGACTTAATTATATTATTGGGTACAATCATTGAGTATTTTGATTAAAATGTGAGTATTGTTTCAATTAACAGTATAACCCATCACAAAAATCTTAACCCTATGCTAAATGTAAATCATTTGATAAAAAAAAAATGACAATTTCTGTGGCCTCAGTGATTATTATTTATTTTTCTCTAATTATTATTCAGCATTAAAAAAAAATAAAAATAAAAAAAAAAACGTTGAAGATGGTTTTTAATACTTATCATTGAAATTATGAACTTTCCAGCACTATGCAAAAATAAAAAAGTAAAATAGAAAAAAAAAATGTTGAAAAGTATGAGAGTAACTTTGAAACCCCACAATTATTAATGATAATAATGTTTTTGAGTAAAGTAGCCTGGGTTAAATTCAAAACCACACAAACGTTTGGGTCAGCGACTAGCCCCAAATAGTTTTAACAGGAATGGCACAACATATATTGTAACTTACTACAATTCTTAAATAATGTTTCATTCACTCAACAACCTATACAAGACATAACTTCAACTGTTATAACAAAGGAATATTTAAAAAGTCACTAAGTTATTTTTTTCTTTAAACAATAAATGAAAAAATCTAAAGGCATAGTGATTACGAATTTATGGCAGAGCTAGTTCTAGAATTTCTTCCAGGAGGAGCAAACTTAATTTTGCTACCCCTTCTTTCTTTCACCATCTCCACCTCCTCCTTCATCCAATAACCCCTCCCTTGCAATTAAAGTCAACAGTTTAAAAACAGTATTTATAATATACATTTCAAAATCAAAATCACCAGTTTATAATATTAACTCGTTTAAAAGAACGAATTGATGTCAAAACAGTAAAGAAACGGAAACAAATATTTTTTAGTTAATAAAAATAAAAATTGTTTGTTTGTTGAAAATTGTGGCTTCTAAATTCTGCAGCCCAGGGCACATGCCCCCTTTGTCATACATTAGATTCAGCCCTGCTTTATAATTAACTATAAAAAAAATCATTTTGAAATCACTAAAAAATCAATATTATAAAAAAAATCAGATTTTTGGTTCATTGTCTAGCTAAAACGCTTACTGTTGCTTACTAATTATACAATTATGAAATTTGTAATGAATGATCAACCATATCAGAGTAATCCTGTTGTTTATATGATTTTAACAGAATGCTGCTATGTTCAATAAAAAATCACCCTAATAATAAATCAAATCCAGCATCAAAAGTAAATAAAACTTAACTAAAATGGTTTTGATTATTGTCACCTCCAAGGAACTGGTTCCAGTGTCCATTGTTGAGTCACAGATTCATCACATGGATTGAGCACTAAACCTTTTTCGATACTTCCATCTTTGGGTAAATCAAGGCAAAGATCACTTGAAATATGTTTTAATGCTCTATTCTAAAACAATAAAACAGAAAAAGTGTTACATAGGGTGCTTGAGTAAATCTTGTAAATATATGACTATATTTACTGTTAAATATTTTTCTTCATTTTTAAATTATTACAATAAAATAATTGGAATGTGCTAGACAGAGCTGCAGTCTTAGCCCTCTCTTGTTCATTCGGGTGCTGGATTCTGACTTTAAGCAAGCAAAGTAGAAAATGAGGCCATACCATCCCAGATATAGAAACCACCAGAGCTTCTAGGATATGGCATTTGCATCCAATAAGCAATTTATGAGAATTGGACTGAATCATTAGGCTAAGTGGAATTCACCTAGAGCAGATAATAGATTTTCAATACCTTGGTGCTTATCTCGATGAGTAGGGATGTATCGATGAAGACATTTAGAAGAGGATCAAGATAGTTTCAAAGGCAACTGAGAAGGTTGTCTTCAAAACTACTTTCCTCCCTATTCTAATCTGCGCAAGTGAGTCTTGGACCCTCACTTCCAAGCACAAGAGGCAAATCCAAGCCATGGAAATGCACTATTTAGGAAATGTGGAAGAGAAAACAATGGATGAAATAATTTCAAGTTCATATCTCAGAGCCAAGGATGCATATAATTCTGGTATTAATCCCTCACCATCACCCCCTGGCCCGGGAAAACCCCATATAGCATAAAGGCGAGGAAGGACAAAAAAAAAAAAAAAAAGAGATTCTTGATTCAGGCTGTATATAAAGGTACCTCACACTGCACAGCCTTAAAAGATGACTAAATCAAATAAGTTAAGTTAAGAGTATACCTATGTGATGAAAACTATTACTACCTAATATTTATATAATAAATGTATGAACTGGGATAGTAATTTTGTTACCTACATAGAACATACAGGATTTAAAATACTCTATCGCCTAAGACAGAGAAATATACTTTATTTATTTACAATAAAATTAAGAATAAATAATTCAAAAATCTACTAGCCTACTGGGTGTCAATTCTGGACCCTCAGAATTCCAACTCTAGAGAATGTTGTCTAATTAACTATTCCAGATGGCAGTTGAAGGAAGTCATACCTTTCTGATTCAGGTTAATTGGAACGATTACCTTAATGTGTTTGGTCATCATGGTATCTATACACGGTGGGCTAGACCCTCTGACCGTGCACTCCCCCGCCCCCTCTACATCCCTATAAATTGCATATCGTTGAGTTCCTTGTAACGATTTATTATAAAAAGCCAATGTTCCCACAAAATAAAGTAAACACACTGGCCCAAAATGGCATCCAAACATGATGAATTGACGACTTTGAATTTAGTTTTTTGGTCACTGAGAATCAGCATTTGGCTTAATTTCGTCATAATTGGTCTTTTATTAAAGCTGAATATTCAGAGAATAATAAAACAAGAAAAAAATATTAAAAAATAATTGGCTTAGACAATAAAAAACAGCAGTAAAGTAAACTTTTTTAACAAAAAATTTTTCAAGTCGAAAACTAAGTGTCTTTGTAATTAAACACCCAACAATAACGCAAACCATGCCATTCTTAGAATAGAGGTCTTCTTAAACGACTAATAGAATAGAAGAATAGAAATAGAATAAAAGATGTTAAATTTAAAAAATAAATAAATAAATTTAAAAAAAAATTGTTTAATTTTTTTTGACAATTTATTTATTACATTATTATTTGTTCGTTAATAAAATCAATAGAATGTACCAAAAACGTTATTATATCACTATAACTAAGCCATTTATGAGTAATGAATGGTGAGGTAGAGTCCTGTAGGCATCTATGTCAGTACCGCTTTTCTGCTGGTTAAGTGCATTTTCTACGGAACTGCTTCAAATGTTTTAAAAAGTAATCAGTGTTTTAGAAAAAGAAATATATTCTCCAGATGTTTTATTTCAGCACGGTTTGCGTTATTGCTTAATTACAAACGATGTTTGATTTTCGACTTGAAAAATTTTTTGTTTAAAAAGTTTACTTAACTGGTGTTTTTTATTGCCTAATTATTTTTTTCATGTTTTATTATTCTCTGACTATTCAGCTTTAATAAAAGACCAACTATGACGAAATTAAGCCAAATGCTGATTCTCAGTGACCAAAAAACTAACTAAAGTCAAAGTCGTCAATCTGCCATTATTGGACATCATTTTGCGGCAGACTTTTTTTTGTGGGAACATTGGCTTTTTTTTTATAAATAGATACAAGGAACACAAAATATGCAATTTATAGGGATGTGAGGGGGGAGGGGTGCATGGTAGTGGGGTCTGGCCCACAGACTACTAATTATGATGAACAAATTTAAATATAGATAATATATTGTTTAATTAACATACTTGAACTTTCAATGTATGTTCAATGTTCAATACATCCTCAACATTGGAAATATGAGGATGCTGAGAAGAGTGAGTCTAAATATTTTAGTCAAAGATGTTATGCTGGTTGAAAACGAAGAGTTAGATATAAATAATTAACGTCATACCTTTTTATTATGAGACCACTTCTGTCTAAGATTACCGCTACAAGCTAATACCTTGACCCTAGGACTGGGAGTATCATCTTTATCTGGAGCATCTAAACATATACTTTCATCAGTAGCAATAAAGCCATCAGTTTCCATGACGAACATCTGAGACAGCACTGGATTTGAAGCACAAGGGACAAGTAGAGCAGGTCCCATGGGTTGGTTTAGGCTACCCTTGCTGGTAGGTTTTTCCAAACATTCCCCACGAACAACATTCTTTATCTACGGAAAATAAAATTAAATAAATAGTCAAAGGGACTAAGAAAATGATGTGCTCTAAGCTAAAGGAAAGCAGAATAATTGTCCATTAAAAAAAAATTAATCTTTAATAAATTATTTTTACTGGACTTTCTGATTAATTAATAGTGACCAAATACTCAATGTATTTATTCCATAATGTATTCCAGCAATAATAATAGTTAGACTTAGCTTACTGTAAGGGATGCTTCTCAGTACTTTCTGCCCAACAGTTTCTTATATTTTTAGTAACTGACACTTTTTTTATGTTATGTAATTGATAATTGAGTATTTTTGTAATTCAGAAGTTGCCAGTGTTGATAGAACATAACATTTAATAGGGTTTAATCAACAGAAATCGGATTCATGCCGTTTCATTCAGAAATCTACTACTGTGTGGGTACACTTGTAATTAATCATACGGAAATTTATGCTTATATTATTATTTCAGAAGTGGAAAAAAGATGTAAGAGGTTTTTAAGAAAATAATTCCTAATTGTGCTGGTTAATTGGATGAATATCAACACTTTCGTTCACTACGTTTTTTTCCTTTTACCACATATGTTTAGTGCCACAAAAATTCATAACAAAAATTAATTCCTATTTCCAAAGAATAAAGTTCACTGTTTCAATATAAACTGAGAAATTTTAATAGAAAATCAGAAACATGAGTTGAGTTGGTGGCATTAGATTGAAGTAAGAAAAATAGTATGACATCACACATTAAAAGTTCATCATCTTATTATCTATGACCAATTTATAGATTTGTATTATTTCAAACGGGGGAAAAATAATTAGAGAGGTCAGAACCTAAGTAAAAGAAGTTTTGTTAGTGACAATTCTCATAAACATTTTAAGACTGAAGCATCGTAAACACAGACCCTTCTCAGACTTGCGTTAAATGATCTCCAGTGGCTCCTGAAATCTCTCCAGCCAAAAGATAAACTTGGAATCGCTTACTTTTTTATGTTATTAATTTCCCTTACTTATTTTTCCCTTCTCTTAATCTCTGAGAGAGAAAATTCTAAACTTATAACCATCTGACTTAAATGGTCGTTTTCATTCAGTGTTCAAATTTTAAAAAAATCTTTCACCCTATAATTTCTTAATGCTACCAAGAATTGATTTTTATGGTATGGAATTTTTTATTATCCAGAAAAGCCTGAGAATAGACTCACTTGCAGTGTGATAAAAAAAAAAATCTAGTTCGTAAAATAAAATAATGTTTTGTTTTACCCCGAAGAAGGTTAGCTTAAAATAAATTAGTTTTCAATATTAGTTTCAAGTCATTGTATAATTGCCAATATATGAGGGAGAAAAACAAAACAGAGTTTGGGAGATATATGGCGGAATCTCGTGAGGGTAGAGGGACCATAAAGTAATTATGGATGAAATCAATTTTATTTGGGTGTGAAATAGTTTAGTTTGACACTGGATTTTCCTTTTTTCTCATCTGGAACCTGAGATTATCAGCGACAAGAGCTACTTGATCTTACAATCTAGTGAATAAACATTTTCACAACTTGAAGAAGTGGGCAAAGGAAACCCTGACGACGTTGGCTCAAATAATTCCAAGTTCCCGCTTCCTCAGATGACTCAATGTGCAAATTGGACAAAGTACACCATTGAGATTTTGAAAATATGTATATATAGATTTTTTTATAAACATTTATAATTAGTAAATTATGTAATCGTGGGTTAATGTTTAGTTTTGTAATGTTTTCTCATTCTTTTCTTTGATAATTAAAGTTAACAGTCTTTTTTTTTGTTTCCTTATAAATCTAATTTCTTGTTTATAATTTTCATTTCCTTTAACTGTTATTTTGGTCAATAGAAATAGAAATAAGTAAAGTCATTATCAGTATTAGTGATAGAGTTTTATTTTTATTTTGTTTGTTTTCAGGTTTTATTTGTATATTATATTGTTTTTGAAGGTTTAATGAGAAATTATAAAACCCTACTCGAGGGAATAGAGAAAATCAATATTAACCAAGTAAGAAGGTTCTATGGGTGATAAGGGTAATTAACATATGTTTTTAAACCCATAGGTTTCGAGTTCGTAGCTCTCTCCCTCTCCAAATCTTTTTTTTAATTCAAAATATTTATTTATTTTTGCTATGGTTTTCGCTATTTTCCAAAATTCAACAAATTAAATAGCGTGGCACCTGTTAAATAGTTATTAATATTTAATTGACTCTTTATTTCTTTTTTTTTTTTTGCGATCCCAACCGTCTCTACTGAACATCCGGCAAGTTTGATGTGAATAATACCTAGGAAATAATTATTCTAAAATAAAGATCGTAATAGTTGGATCAAGTCAAGTGTGTTATAAAAGTTGATCCTTTTGTTGTACTCGATTTATGGGTTATACTCAAGCCCATTCTACTCTCATCATAATTAAAAGAGAAGAGGGACATTCAAAGAAAGTATTAATAACTAAAAAGAACACTATTATTATAGATTATATTAAAAAGTATGTTAAGAACATTTGTTTAGAAAATATGAAAAAAATGGAAACGTTTAAGTAATGTGATTTTTAATAAATAAGAATCATTAAAAAGAAGTAGAGTTGATCATTATTTATAAATTCATCTCTTACTATTATTTCCTCTAATAAACTAAATTTTAATCCACAATGTTTGAGCCTGTTTGATTAAGCTTTAAAGTTTCCTGCAAAATTTTGAAAAATATAAACGCATAGTGTATATAGATGAAATATCATTGAGTAAAAAAGAAAATCACATAAAGCAATTATTAGCTCCAGAAGATATTATTGGTAAACCATAAAAAACTTTACCTTTCCAAAAAAGCGGTCTTCTGTAGGAAAAAAATGTTGTGGCCAAACAGTATCTAAATACCATTTAAAACTTTTACAACTTAGTTTTTTTCTAAGTTCTATTCGGCTTCGAACAGGCTGTAAATCTCTTAACCGTTCAGCCTCTGAAAATGATAAGGAAATAAATTATAATACATTACATAGCCCAGTAACCTTGTACATCATAAGTTGCATCGAATGGGCGTAGGTTTCTTTTTACTTTCTTGTATGGGATGTTACTGAGATGCAAAATCCAAGTTTTCAACCTCGATGCCCTCCCCCCTCCCTTCCTGATCACTTTTGAAAATCCCAAAAACTGCTATATTTTTGGCTTTTCCTCATCTAGACGTGGAAGGAGCACGTTTTCGACAAAAACTATTCTATACATTTTCAAACTAAATTAAATACGCTACAATTTAAGATCAGAACCGGCTCGATAAATTAAAAAGTATACAAAATACAGGTTTTGAAAGTTTGGAAAAAAAAAATTTTCATTTAAATTATTTTTCATGTCTGATCTTATGCAATTGTCTTTTATCTTCAATAACCTGTCAATGAAGTAAATATTTATTCATTTTAATATTTTGAAGGAGTGATGATGGAAGGGGGGAAAGGTTTGGTGGGAGAGGGTAGTCGTGGGGCAGACTCCCTCCCATGTACTCTGCCCCCTTATCCCTATTTTGGTCTTAAATTGTAGCATATTCCATCTAGTTTTAAAATGTATAGAATATTTTTTGTCGATAATGTGCTCCTTCAAGGTCAAAGTGAAGAAAAAAACCGAAAATAGAGTAGGTTTTGGGATTTTCAAAAGCAATCCGTGGGGATGCCGAGGTCGAAAACTTGGATTTTGCATCTCAGTAACATTCCATACAAGAAAATAAAAAGAAACCTACTCCCATTCAATGTAACTCATTTTTTTCAAGACAAGGTTACTGGGCTAACATAGTTGCAACAAAACAATTGACAGTTTTACCAATTTTAACTCAGTGTGATAAAAAAAATAATTAAAATCGGCTTTGATTATATGAACCTTATACAAAGGATTATATGATAAAAATCAAGCCCCAATTACCATATATATCCTCAATTAAATAACTCCTTAATTATTATAAATTAAATCAATTACTATGATGTACAGCAAACAATTGATTTAGACATTTCAAAATTAATTACCCTCAATATTTTACAAAAGTGAATCATCGAATGAAAGATTAACAATAAAAAAAATCTGGTGCGGTTCGCGCATCACACAACTTTCACTTACCAACCTCTTCTTAGCAGAAATAAGTATTTTCAGACAAAGGGGATGTGAAGGTAAAAATTATAAACGCTAGATTGATTTATATTTCATTTTGGGTATCTTTATTTTTATAAGTACCCTTATATATACAAATTTGAATATTTATAAATAAGTTATATATTTATATATAACTGTGATTTATACAATTAAATATTAAATAATACCAAAAATAGCACCTATGAAAACCACATATGTATATTTACATAATATTGTCGGAGTCCTTATTATATTAAGCTCATGTTACGTATAGAAGCGTGTTCTAATCTATGGTTCCTCAATTACAACTATTCTTCATTACGATCTCTTATTTCTCCTTTAGTTAATCATCAAATTCTTCCATATTTTATATTCAACTATCTTTTATATTAGAGATTAATGTGAAATGGTCAATTGTTTCAATTTAAAAAAATTAATGGTACTTTAGAAGAAGCTAATATTGAAAATTAGTAGTTAAAGCTATGTTTAAGAACATCAATCAGAATAAAAACTAAATTTTATTTAAGACTGCTTAATTTTACACTGATACGGAATTTAATCAAAATTGTTAAGAGAAATTTTTGAGAAAATCGCAAAAATGTATTTAGTCCATTATATAAAGTGCCACTTCCGGTTAGCCGATTTTGACAAAAAAAATTGCTGTAACATCCCTAGCATATAAAAACCTTAAATATGCAATTTTACTAGCCTACGACTTTTCGTTTTTGAGCTATACTTTTAACAAACACACACGCATACACACACACACACACACGCATGCACACACAGACCATTTTCCGGGACTTGGTCAAGTAGACTCAGGGGACCTCAAAACGTGTATTTCTATTGAAAATTCAGATTCGAAAATTTTCACAATCGCAATACTTTTCCTTATTATATATTTCATATATTGGTAAGTGAAAGTAACAATGAATATTTAAAACTAAAATTAAAAAATAATTTGAAGAAAATTATACGATTCTACTCCCATGAAATTCACGTCAGATTTTCTTTAATATGTTGCAAATCTCGTATTTTACACTATTTTCGACTAAAGCATAAACTTAATAAAATAGTAATTATCGAAAATTCAATAACCAAAGTTCTGTTGGGATATTTGGCTAAATGGATTAAAAAAATTTACAAAAGTTGTCAATTGTATAATTTGGATAAAATTTAAAATTTGTTGATACTGTGATGTTTTTTATATTTTCAAACCCACTTAAGTTCAAAGGAATTGGTAGTCATCATGGTTCACTTTTTGCTTTCACATACCTATAAATGTACTAATATATATTAAGAGAAAAATTGCCATGAAAACTTTCAAATCTGAGTTTCCAATGGAAATAAATTTTTTAAGGTCCCCTCCAAACCACACCCTTTGAGGTCTTCTGAGTCCAAATAACCAAGTCCTGCAAAATTGTCTGTGTGTATATGAACAGTCCAGCTCTAAAACAAAAAGTTGCATGAATCTGAAATAATGTATTTAAGGTAGGTATATCAAACTGTTTTTACATGCTACCTTTTTTTGGTCTGATTCTCCAAAGATGATTCACCTCTAAACAAACTTCTGGTTCAATAGTGGATCTCGTTCTGATACCATAATACATACAATTTTCTGTTTATGCATTCCATTTAAGTTAATAGAATTTTTGTTTCTGGCAAAAGGTAAATTATATAATGAGTGAATGTTCATGGCAGTTATGGTCCTTCGAAGTTATGGGTCAATATATTAGATAATAAAATTTCCATTTCAAGAAATCATAACTGCAACAATATGAACTTAAGTATCTAAAGTTATGCTAACCAATGCACCACATGGAAAGAATATTAATATTAATAGAAAGAAAACAATTTTTTAACTCATTACCAGGGTTAAACTTGAAGAAAAAGTCTTTCCATTCATCCATCCAAACCAATGCAACACGCACCAAATTTCCATACAATACTTTTGTGACTCCACCAGGAAAAGAATAAGGAGATGATTTTCTAAATAAATGCCCAACATGAGAACAAGGTGAAATTTCCACACTCCCCCCACACTGCCAAACCTTCAATTAAATTGTTTAAACAAAAAATTAATTCTACAAGGAATGCAATTAAAAATGAATATATTTTTTTTTAAAAACTAACCCTGAAGGACATTTCTAAATTTTCTCCTCCCCATACTTCCATTCGATCATCATAAGAGCCAAGAGCAAAAAAAAAGTTCTTATCCATGGCAAATAACCCTCCAGCCATGGCAGGTGAACTGAAAAATAAAATAAATAACCTTATAATTCAACTTTTTTTTTTTTAATAAGAAAAACAAAAGTCAATATATATTCTTAACACCTGAAAGGTTCAGTGATATCTTTCCTTCTTTTTTTTAATTCATCTCCTGAAATTGTATACCATCTGAAATGCAGATCCCAATTGAAAGCACCCCAATGAAGTTCAAAACTACGAATATATGCAAATGTTTCATCACTAATTATATCAATCACTGGACAAACAACACGCGTTCGATCTTCAGCAACACGAGTCACTAATGCTTCAAGCCATCCTAAAGAAATAAATAGTTATTAATAAACAATAAGATGTAGAAAAACTATTTGGAAATTAATTCAAACATAATTAATTACTTTTACCAGTTGTTCATTCATAATGAGCACCAAGAAAAAGTTATAACTAAAAACTACTTGAAAATCAATTTAAAAACATTAATAATAATTTTTACCAATTGTACATTCACAATGGGCATCAAGAAAAGTTAGAATTTGTCCATTAGCCTCTTTTGCACCTAATATTCTTGCTCTGATCAAGCCAATCCTTTTTGTAGTTCTAATAACCCTGGTGGGAATACTTAATTGTGATACATAGTCATCCAATTCTTTTCCAAGGAATTCTAGATTTTAAAAAAAAAACATAATGAAGATAGAATGAAATGAAAAATGTAGAAAAAGTAAATTTACACTAATTTTTATGACAAACTGAACATATCTATCAGACCACAATGAAGTATGAAATGTGAAAAACTTTACATTTGTTGCCTAGGGAAGCTGATGTGCAAATGTAAATCTGCCTCTGAATGTGGTCCAGGTAATAAGCAACTATAGTGTTGATGGCTATTTTTTTAAATGGCTGGTTCACATAAAAATCTATATCAATTTGCAGTACGTAATTAAGGACTAATTTTAAATTATAGCGATTCACTAGATAATATTGTAAATCTATAGCTGATTGCAGTAACCATATATTAATAAATTTGCAATTGTTTCCTTCAATTTCTTCATCTCATTAAGACATTAAAAATGTGTGAAACAAACATAATAGCCAATAATAATAAAACTCACTTCTAGTGCTAGCATCATCAACAAGCAATATTTCCTGAAGCAATATAGAAGGAGATCTATTTATAACGCTATGTACAGTTCTTAATAGAGTTGACCAAGCTTCATTGTGAAAAACAATAATAACAGTGGTTTTAGGAAGACCTTGAATATCATTATATTTTCCCTGACACCTGTAAAATATAGAAATTATAGGAGAATATATAATGGTAAAATAAATGTTCGTTATTGTATTGTACATGATAATTAAATACTTAGATTTATTTTTAATGAAATATTCCAGTACAATAGCCATTCGCTTATAAATATTTATCACCAGGCGACATAATGTGTTTTAATACCTATTTACACATTACAGTAATTATAATAAAATATTTGTTCTTATAGTTATGGTTATTTACAGTTATCAATGCAGAAAATAAAAATTAAAAGATGGTTAATAAATGACATTTGGATGAACATACATATAATATTCTACGTTGTTTTTTTTTTTTCTATCCATTTTGGTTTTTCTGCAAAAAACTTTTGCTATACAAGGTAAAATATAAAAATCTACCAACAATCCTAAGAGATAGAAACAGTAGATAGATGAATAAATAAAGGTACAACTTCGCAAGTGTTATTCCACCATGATGAGAGACCACATTATAATGGATTGTCCAGAAAATAATGCAGGATTTTGAGTTTTCTTTAAAATATCCCTCTATATAGCAAACTGTTTACGTTTACTGGATTATTCATTTGTATATATGTCAACACTTATTAATCCTCTTCCAAACGATAGTTTGTTTACCTCTGTTGCATTTTGCTGCTTAGAAATAATTCAGTCTCGACTAAGATGTCAATACGTGATTTCCGTATAATTTTGTTTTACAAGTTTAAACTCGGCGGGTTTATGGCCCAGACGACAGAAATATCAATCAAGTCTGGGGCAACAGTAGCATTAATGAGTGCACTGTTAATTGTGGTTCAAAAATTTCGGGAGGGAGACTTCAGCCTTGAAGAAAAAGGTTATGGAAGAACTTCCTCTCTTGATGAGGATGTTCTGTGGGCCTTGGTGGAAGGAAGCCTCAGAACAACTGTTCGAGAACTTGCAGGGAAACAACCTTAGCAAATTGACCGTCGATTACCACCTCAAGGATATTAGAAAGTTAAAAAAGCTTGAAAGTTGGCCGAACGGGCTAACGTGTGTGCACAGCACCGCCGTTGCCCGGCAACCTGATTTAAGATACTATGATAAAATATAGTCACGAGTTCGTGGCCCGGTGACAGGGGCGTCTTTCAAATCCCCGCCCACACTCCCTGGAACGGGAAAACCTGATATAGCCTTGAAGGCGAGGAAGGGGAGGACAAAAAAAAAAAAAAAAAAAAAAAATAAAACATTAAACCAGCGTTATGAAGTTTGTGCTACACTTCTTTGGCAAAACCAAATGACCTTTTTCTGTCCAGAATTGTTATTTTTTATGAGAAGTGGATACTTTACCATAAATGCAGATGTTCTGGACAATGGCTCGACAAAGAAGAAGAAGAACATTTTCTAAGCCCCTAATTCAATACAAAAAGGTGATGGTTACTTTGTGGTGGGCTTCATTTGGTTTGATACACTACAGCTTCTTAAATCCTGGAAAACCATCAATGACGAATCATATTGTAACCAAATTAATGCAATGCATCAGAAATCGGCAATAATGAAGCCATCTTTGGTCAATCAAAAGGGGCCCGTTTTGTTGCATTACAACACCCATCTGGCCACATGTCTCGCGTCTGACATCACAAATACTGTTGGAGCTTGGATATGAAACTCTGCCACATCCGTCCTACTCTCTGGAACTCTCGCCTTATCATATTTTTAGACACCTGAACCACTATTTACATGACAAAAAATTTAATGGACAAAGGGAATTAGAAAATGTGTTTTTGGAGTTTATCAATTCTAAGGATGGGAAATTCTATTCTGAGGGAATAGAAAAGTTGCCAACATGTTGTATTGATAGTAGTGGAGACTATTTTGATTAAATAATGTTTTATTTAAAGTATTGGTGTTTACAACTGTTGTTGTAAATCTTTCATTTCCTTTTTAAACCAAAATTTTGCATTATTTTTGGACAACCCAATAGGTGGTACTCTGAAAATGGCTAACCATGACTGAAAGTAGTGGTGACTGAACCTTATGGTAAGGTCCCTCCTCAACCTGTTAGGGATTTGCTTATCCTTTTTGAGCAAGCTAAGCAAACAAAATTTCATAAGCAGCAATGTAATTTTAACTGAAATGGACCAGTTTGGAATTTGCAGAATTTGAAAATCAGGATCTAAACAAAAAGGAAGTTATATTCTTCAGTCAATATCAAAACTCAGCCATTCTTAGAATTTCATTTATAGATCATGAGATGTTTTACCCACTTATCACAGTGTAGCAAAACTTATGACATAAATAAAATATTAAAACACTAATTGCTTAAGAATATATAACAGTAAAGTTAAGTGGTTTTATTAATAAAAGAATAGCACTTACCTTTTCTTCCTAACATCCGGTAAGCTCCTATTTAGAGGGATTCTGTCACTAGCCATGAGGTTGAATCGATTGATATGATATAACTGCCTCATTTTCGATGATAAATGTGCAGGTATTATTACTGGCATTCCATCCTTGCCCTCATTTGGTAGAGGAGCAAACAAGTTGGAGTTAAGTATTTCTATTGAAAAAATACAATAAAGTTTATCACAAGATAACAAATTAACAATTTTTTTTTTTTTAAATAGCAATAACTTGCCATCAGTTAAATTAGGATTGCCAGAATTGCTTGGATCACCCATATAATGACCCACAACCACATGAACTCCATGAGCATCAACGTACTCCCTTTGGTCTTTCGATAACCTATAACAAACAAAAACAACAGAATGACCTAATATTAAATAGGAAATACTTAAAAATAGAGGATCACAAAAATCTTTTTTAAAAGTGTCATTTATGCAACATACCAAGATTACTTTTCCTTTTTGTCTAGCCAAAAATCAGGAAAAGTACAGCTTCAGAAATCAATAAAATATTATTGCATAATTAAACTGGTAAATCATGAAATAATGAAGCTGTTTTCAATCTCTAATATTCTTTTATTCATTACAAATTTTTATCGTGCTATTGAAATCCACTTATTTTATTATGATACTATCGAAATTTTGTTATTTTTATACATAGTAGGATACATATAAATACCATCATTAAAGAATTGTTAAATTATTTGCTCTGAGTGCTGTAAATGTTCATTATCTGGGAATTCGAGCAGTTATTAATTGAAAATATATATTTATACTTATTTACAATTTCAATATCAATATAAATTTAGTATATCGAAGAACACCTTTAACTTAAAATCCTTTTAGTGTATACTACTTTTTTGCACTTCAATTACAGCATTTGATGTTTTAGGCCTTCTTCATTCATTTACAACTCTATAGAAGCCTATCTAACAGCCGTAAACTGGCGAATCTATGGGAGGAGTTTTCGGGCTAAGGGCTCCCCTAAAATGGTAAATTGATGTTTTACAAAAAAAATTATCTCTAACAAGTGTTATAGTTCGTTAATTATATTAAATAGGACTTCAAGAATCACTTCAACACCATTTCTTATATGTAGTTAGTTTCTTTCTTTTTCTTCCAAAGTAATTATCGTTATATAGATAGAAAAAAAAACTTTTCAAGCTGAAGCCCTTTCGAAATTTATTTCTGGATCCGCTAGTATAGTCATTCAACTATTGGACATTGCTTTGTCAAAATAAGAAGACATGAGAACATAGACTTGAAAAGGGGTAAATATGGCCTGAATCGTCAGAGGCTTTTGCAGCAATTAATAACACTTTTTTTTCTCCCCTTCCTCGACTTTATAGGTTATACAGGATTTTTTCCAGATGAGAGAAGAGGCCAAGTAATTAATGCCATAGTCAAAAATGTCCCCGGCATCGGGACTCGAACTTGTGATCTTCAGTTTATCAGAGATTGTGCCAGGCAACGCGTGTTTTTTACACACGTTAGCAAAGCTCGACCGCTCCAACCCAGCTTGTTTATAACACACTGCTGGGTCCATAAAAGCTATCTATAAATCCATTTCAGTTAAATTTTCATTCAAATAATATACCTAGGAGATTTAGATCAATAAAACTCATTTAGCACTGATAAATATTAAACTATGATATCCTCTTTTTGAAAAATATAATGTACATGATTTTTCCAGAAAAATAGATGTACTAAATTTAAATGTTGTTAGTTTCATCATGATAACTATCAGAGGTGTTCAGAAGATGGTGAAATAGTGTAAGATGCACAATTAAAATTATTAAGGGGGCACATTTTGACAGAGTTATGAAGTTTTAGAGGAACTTTCCAAACTTCAAACAGAGAAGAAAAATGGAACCGATCTAGCAAGAGAAATTATATCATCATCATCATAATCCTATTCCTCTTTACCGCCTATGCAGTGTGAGGTTGCTTCTTGTAGAGCTAGTACCAGCTCTCGTCTCCTGTTCCTTTCCAAACCTCGCTTCTGGAATGCATCTCGCACGCCTTCTTTCCAGGAGATTCTGGGTCTTCCTCTTGGTCTCCTACCCTGCACGCGAGTCTCATATGCCTTCCGTGCGACTCTGTTCTGGTTCATACGGAGAAGGTGCCCAAACCATCTCAACTTGTGTTCATCTATTATGATTTCGACCGCTTTGGCGTCGAGATTAGCCCGGATTGTAGTGTTACGAATTCTGTCTCTTCTAGTCTTTTCCTCCACCTTTCATAGGTATCGCATCTCTAGAGCCTGGATCTGGCTCCTGTGTTTCGAAGTAAGTGTCCAGGACTCTTCCCAGTCCTTCGGGATCTTCTTCTGTTTCCAGACCAGGTTCACAAGATGGAGAAACATTTCCTGGCCTTTACTTCCCATAAACCTCATCATTTCCGGAGTGATTCCGTCCAGTCCCGCCGACTTGCCGAGTTTCTTCTTGGCGATGGATTCCAGCAATTCTTCTTCATCAATATAATCGTCCTCTTCTGAGGAATGCTCCTCTACAACTTGGATCTCGTTTAGGTTCCAATCTGTTCCTTTCAGCAGCTCTTTAAAATACTCTCTCCACCTCTCCATTATCTCATCATTCCGCCAGACAATCTTCCCCTCTCTGCTCCTAATTCCTTTCAATGTGGTGGGTTTCTCCTTGCGCATTTCTTTGATTGCTTTGATATTTCTGCTTCTATTTGTAGAATGTATGATAAGTTTCAGGGTGGGTAGAGGAGGAGAGAGATGTGCAGTGGCAAAACAATTTCCCGCATATTTCCTACTCTTGTGTATTCTCTACTCATTCATTCATACTTCTAAATTGTTTTTTTGTTTTTTTCGGTTGGCGCTACAGACCATGAAGATCATTGACCACGAGTGTGGTCTCCTAGGCCGCATCCCGATTCCCGATTTGAAGTACGGGGTAGTCATCAATCCTACTCCCGGTCGGTGTAAGTTGCCTACAGTAGGCTGACAGGTCTCACATACTGGGGGGAGGAATCTCTGGCAGCGTGACTTTCCTTGGTGGACGGTCACCCATCCAAGTGCTAGCCAATGGCTAACGCTCGGCGTTGCTTAACTTTGATTACCTATTACAAGCACCTTAGCCTGTAAAGCTATCCCAGCCCCCTAAATTGTTTACAAATAGAAATTTCTTGTATCATTTTTTTCCCATTTCTTTCCTGTTTCCTACATTGATTCACAGAAAGATTAGCTGTTTACACAGTGTGATTTATTTGATTTGAGCTAATACAGTATAGTCTAAAATAATACATAATGTGGACAATTCTCTTTGATTACATTCAGAAGTAAATTTAAAAAGTTCCTCCCCATTATTGAATATCTGATAACATAGTACCGGATTCTTTTCTGTTCTATATTTTCCATCTTTTTCTTGATTTTTTTTATAGTCTATTTCTAGGTAAATTTAGATCTACAGATCCTAATGATAACATCGAATTCTGTGAACAGTAGACCTTGTGAATTCACATATATTTTTGTCTCAATTTGATTATTTAAACATCACATTCATTGTTTTATTTTAGTTTTTAATTAAAATCCCTACTTTTAATATACATTTGTGCGAAATTTGAAGAAAACGGAACAATGCTTTCCCGGTGGTTGCTATGCTATAGAGGGGAAGTTGAGCAGGAGAGAGGTCTTGGGTAGGTGGACCTCGAGTGGGTGAAAGCTACATAAGCTTCCTTCCTCTACACTCAAACTTAACTTAGATGAACTTTACCATTTTTAAGAAGAGAAGAGCTATGAAATTTCTTGGGGGATAGGCACTGCTGATAACTGCAACAATAATATAATTACATTTTTCAGTAAACGTTAACTTGTATAATAAGCAATAGTAAATCATCAGCATATGGTACTAGTTAAATATTATATGGCAAGATAATTATTTTCAACTATTGTGTCTTAGATAATATTCTAAAGAATATCAAAGAAGAGGAAAACCACGAAGAGCCCAATTATAACTTAGGTCAGTTTATTGTAAAATGCATAAGATTTAATTTGCACTATCTATTAGTGATTAAATCACATAATATTATAATGTTGATAATGATTCATCACCATTTCTTTATTTACCTAACAGGTATCCAGTCTTTTCTATGAGTTTCATTTTCTTCTTGAAGTTCACCAATATTAAGGAGGACCAGCATAGCTATTAAACAAATAATTAAAATAACCAGCCATACACGACGAAATAGCCTCCTTGACATTTTTCAATTGTTTTGAAGTAACCTAAAAGTATCAAGAAAAATTAATTCATATCAGGACAATTCATTTAAAAAGCAATACAGCAAGTGCATAATTCTATATACCATTAAACAGCACTAATAAAAAATTAAATGAGACCATCATGACATAAACTCAAGAATGATTGTTAAGAAAGAAAACGCAATTTTGAAATTGCAGTAAATAACAATAATTACCTCAGTATAACTTGACAAAATTTTATAATCATTCATATCAAGAAATGTTGACATCCTTTATAAATACAATTTCACATCATAACAAACGTCAAAACACAAGTTTCAATTGTATATTATATACTCATATAAACAATATACGACATATTCATATCCAAAGTAAATCTTTTCAAATAAGGGTGTTTTTTTTTTTTATTATTCTTATTGGAACACTTGTTGCCTTTAAACAAAGAAGGGTACAATAAATTAACCTTCAATCATATGTCGATCAATATTTACGATGCAAATTTTATCTCTTACGAAAAAGTTTAAGTAAATATTGTTCACAATGACTGTAATTAAATACATATAATTAGATACATGATTAACATTAACAAAAGAATTGTAAACAAGCAACCGGCGAATCAGTTGGTTACACTGCATCAAAATGTAGTGGTGGTGGAATGTCAAATAGTCAAGGATCAGATGGTGGGGGGGCTAAGAGTTGGCGATGGTTGGGGAGTGTATGAATTTACCGTTAATATTTAAGTTTAGAAAGTTTTTTGTTGTTGATTAACTCTGTATACATACGAAAATTCGACTTATTAATATCAATTTGCGTTTGATGCGTCAATTGTTGAAATCAAAATGTTAAGTTTTGTCCTTAGTGGTTTTACATTTACACAGTGAATATATGTAAAATGTGTCTGGTTATGTTTGTAAGTATAGTGATCAATTTTTCATTTTTAAAGGAATGTCTGCATTATTTCTATCTTCAATTAATTTATTGTCTATAACATTTTGTAGTAGTATTTTAAATCACATGCTTAGCTATAACATATGAGCTATCCTATCAAAGTTATATGCTTATCAGAATGTTTTTTATTTTTCAGGTTTTTATGTATTTACAGGGCTGCCTTGTTTCAGCCCAATACGCCAATGGGAACTCATAGACTTCTAATGTAGATTGTAAATAGTTTATTTAGGAATACATATCTCCTTTGTGATAGTCATTTATTTTATATGAAAAAAAATGTTTCGTACAAAGGTGCGTTTCCATACCTGCAAAGTGATCCTGTTAACATCACTTGTTTGGATGATGCTCGTGGTAGCAGTTTTAACATTTTATTCAGACTGTGCTCTTGGAGGTGGTTGGGGTTGTCAGAGGCTAGTAAAAACTGTTGATGTAGATGTACAGAAGTCCAGTGTGCAAAGTTTAAGAAAAGGAAGGGGTGCTCTGTATGAACATCTGCATGATCGGGGAAAATTACAAGAAAAGCTTATTTATGATAAATCTACATTAAAAAGATGGAGACCTGCCCCACCAGTATCAGAAAATCCTGGAAAACCTGGTGAAATGGGGCGTGCTGTCACTATACCTAAAGAAAAACATAAATTAATGAAAGAGAAATTTAAATTAAATCAATTTAATCTCCTCGCTAGTGATATGATATCTTTAAATCGGTCGTTGGCTGATATAAGACAAGAAGGGTAAATATAATTGTATAGTTTTAAATAGATTAGTATTTTTGATGTTGATGTTTGAAATTTATAAATTTGCTTTTCAATCATATTTCACTTATAGACAGCATTATTAACTTTTTGACACCATTTACCTTTATAAGTTGCCATAAATAAATTTTATTGCTCTGTTATGACTGACACCTGGAATTGTTTCTGCTTTATAAATTCTCTATATTTGAGCCATTAAACCAAGTTTTAAAATTAGGTGACTTAATTGTTATTAATATTGGACTTATTTTTCTTGGACTTTAATAGAAAATCTACATGAAACTAACAATTATATACAATCTATTCATAATTATAATTCATCATGTTTTAAACTCATGAGAATATAGAAAGTTTAATGATCATTAGTTTAAGGGTGATGGGTATGTGAGTCATAGAAAGTGTTTAGCTATTATCCCAAACTTTCACACTGGGAATATCTAATGAAATACTGATAACTAGCAACCAACAATGATATTTTTTCTCATTTATATTTTTAGTAAACTATTTTATCTATATACCACTCCACTATGAATTGAATGTCTTGTAATTACTTTATTTATTTATTTTTTTCGTTTTAGTTGCAAAGATAAAATCTATCCAGCACTTTTACCCACAACAAGTATAGTCATTGTTTTTCACAATGAAGCCTGGTCAACTCTTCTTCGAACAGTATGGAGTGTTATTAACAGGTCACCAAGACCATTGTTAAAAGAAATTATTTTGGTGGATGATGCCAGTGAAAGAGGTTTGCATGTTTATTTTCATAAATATGTACTGTTGTTTTTATTAATACATTATTTTACCCATTTCATTTACTGCTTTATACTAATTTAATAATTTTTATTTTGCTGAACATTAATTCTTAGATTGTCAATATTTTTAATATCCAACATTTAATCATTAATTTATAATCAAATTATTTTAGATAAAAATATTGATTATAGTAAATGTATATTGTTAAATGTTTTATAATCATGTAAACACTGTTTATGATCAATGCTCTTATAAAAGTAGCTAAATCCAAAACGGTTTTCATTGATAAGTGCATGTAAATTAAATATTTGTCTAGATTTTTTTTTATTACTATGAAGAGATGTATTAGTGACAATAAAAAAAAAAACAGATAACATCAATTGTGTATTCGTAGCATTGAACCATGATCTTTAATGGCCTGATTTGAAAAATTTACAAAAATGGATTTGTCTGGTTTTTAAATACTATGCCTCAATTATTAATAATTAATTTGCACTTTTTAATTATTTCTTAATTGCTTTTAGATCATTTAGGAAAACAACTAGAAGATTATGTTGCTACACTCCCTGTTCCTGTTCATGTTTTAAGAACAGAGAAAAGATCTGGGCTTATCAGAGCCAGACTGATTGGTGCCAAACATGTTACTGGTCAGGTCATAACTTTCCTCGATGCTCATTGTGAATGTGCAGAAGGATGGCTTGAACCTTTACTCTCTAGGATTGTTGAAAACAGGTATTTCATAAATTATTTCCTTTATTACTTTCAGAAACTCACCCGTCAATGTCATGATCATGAAATCATTAATGTATTAATGGCCAGGTATAAAAAGGTTAAGTGTGATCAACTAAGGATAAGAAAATTATTTTAAAACTTCATGTTTTAAACCAACATGGTTACGAATAATGATTCAAATTAATTTTTTTTTTTTTTTTTTTTTTTTTATTCTTTTGTAGAGAATTTACTAATCTTTAAAATAATCATGAGTGCAATTAAAAAAAAAATTACACTTTCTTCATTTCTTTCATTACTTTTTTCCTTGAAATTTGGGGGGATGTGGTTATTTTATCCCACTTGAATGAGATCTTGAAAATGAATGCTCAATCAATGGAATTGCTGAAAATAAGGTGTAACAACAACAACAAAAAAAACAGCTTTAAGAATAACTGATAAACAATGTTGTTGTTTTTTAATTAAAATGTTGTTTTGCATCATTGTCGCTATATTAACTTACAAGTCAGTATATTCAACATTCGTTTATCTATTTTCTCTTTGTTATCAACATTTTATTATGTACATTTATATATCTGCCTATTAAATATTCATAAGTGAAAATACAGATAAGAGTTTGTTCATAGGTTTATCTGTTTTTAAAGCTTTAATAGGTGGTTCTCTCCATACCTCTGGAAAATGGAAGAAATGGAATACTGTACATTAGAATTTCCAGAATATTTTTACTTTTTAAAAAACAATGTTTAGATAATCTTTAATTATAGATGTAGCGTACTGAATCTGTTTCTGAACAATTGAAACGAAAATAGAATTAATTAGAGTTTATCTGCTTAGTTTAGAATAAATAATTTACTTAAATATAATTTTACTGATCTGAACTTTTATTTTCAGAAAGACAGTTGTTTGTCCTATTATTGACGTTATATCTGATGACACTTTTGAGTATGTTACTGCTTCTGATATGACTTGGGGTGGTTTTAATTGGAAATTAAATTTCAGATGGTAAGCTTTAATTACTGATTAATCATCCTTTATTAGATTTATGAGCTGGTCACTCCTTTCCTCTCCTCCTCCCCTCTTCCAAACACAAATACAAATGCTAGCATTTAACTAATGTAAAACATTTTAATTGAAATGGGTTGCTTGTTATCTATTTATATGAATGTATGAATTATATTGTATGTTTTTTTGTAATGAAAATGAAAAAGTTATCTTCAAATAAATGTGAGTGTGTGTGTGTGTGCATTTGTTAGTTAATACAATATTTATAATTATTGATGATAATGTTAAATGTTTACATTTACTTTAACTCAAAGAATCTTTTTTTTCTTAAGGTATCGAGTGCCCCAAAGGGAAATGCAAAGAAGAGGAGGTGATCGTACTGCACCTTTAAGGACACCAACAATGGCTGGTGGCCTTTTTTCAATTGATAGAGATTATTTTTATGAAATTGGTGCTTATGATGAAGGAATGGATATATGGGGTGGTGAGAATCTTGAAATGTCCTTCCGGGTATGTATTCAATTTAAGATATTGTTTTTTATAGTTAAATTTTTGTTCATTTATTTAATTTTTTAATTAGTAGAAAAAGGCCTTTTCAGTCTCGATAAATAATTACTTTATTTAAAATTTTCAGGTCTTCAGGGATAATCTGATTTTACATGTAATTTAAATTTTCATTCGATTATAGCAGTGCACCCACTTGCACACTTAGTCAAAGAACACAACCAAACCTAACTAAGTGTGCAAGTTGGTGCACTGCTATAAGCGAATTTAAATTTAAATTATATGTAAAATCAAATTATACCTGAAGATGCCTAAAGAGGTGAAAATTTGGATAAATTTGAAATAAAGTAATTATTTATCATGACTGAAAAGGCCTTTTTCTACTAATTCTTTTTATAGCCTCTTTCCCAAGATCATCTTTTATTAATTTTTTAATATTAATTTTGAATTTTCCCTACCTATCTCCCCATGATTTACTCCCTCATGGTTATCTTAAATTAATTATAACTATATTCTCAAATAAAAAATAATTCGTGTTTTTCTTGTTGTTTTTTTTTTTTTTTAGTTTTTTGTATTTATCAAATTAACAATTTATTTTTTTTATATAGTTTTGTACATATTACTTAACACTTATATTTTTGTTTCGCTAGATTATAATATGAACTATACTTCTTTTCCGGAGGTGAATTTGGAAGTATAGTTTCAGTAAGTTAGGGAATTTGTTATTACCAATAACCATTGTAAAAATGCAGGTCTGGCAGTGTGGAGGTAGCCTGGAGATAATTCCTTGTTCTCATGTGGGGCACGTCTTCAGGGACAAATCCCCGTACTCTTTCCCTGGTGGGGTCTCGAAGATTGTCCTCCACAATGCAGCGCGTGTCGCTGAAGTGTGGATGGATGAATGGCGAGATTTCTATTATGCCATGAACCCAGGTACTCTACTCGTTCGGGTACCTCAGATCATATTTTCTATCGTTATTTATAATTAAAATTTTATTTACTACTCTTTGTATATATAATGCTTTCGCTTTAAAGTCATGGAATTTTCAAATATTTTAAGTAAATAAGTTATAACTATTATAGAAATAATCAAAATTTAATACTAAAATTATATTTCCAAATGTTTTATTCAATTAAATGTTTTCCTTCATTAAAAATAAATTAACTTTTGGGCTAATTTACATACTTTGCATGTAGTGCTATTGTCGCTTTTTATTTATTTTTTTTAACAAGGAACCGGCTTTATTGACTAATACTAATATACTAACTTGTGCAATTAACAATATATGTCCAAGTTTTGCTTCAATCCGTTTCTGTGAAATGTTCATTCCAATTATTCCTATAATCCAATATCCTGTTATTCCTTAACCTTGCTTTTAATTTTGTTTTTTCTTTTCTGTATTTATGTTTTATTATTATTTGGATAAATTAATAAAAAAATAAATAGAGCTTTGGTGTGAGTTATTTGAAAGGTTTGACATTTATCTGGATGATTTCAACATTGACTAATTATTGAAAGATGTGTTAAAATGGTTGTTTGCATATGTTATACATTTTGAATCTCATTATCTGTCATTATTCATTTTAATTTTTTTTGTCTTTTTATAGTATGGATTATGTTTTCTTGTTTTTATTTTAACAGATTAAGATAATATTGTCTATTTTTTATCTTTCTATTTCGTTTATAACTATGAATGTATTTCGTCGGGTATTAAATGTAGATCTGGATGTGCGGAGGTGTTTTGGAGATAGCGACATGCTCCCATGTGGGGCATGTCTTCCGGAAATCTACACCATATACATTTCCTGGAGGCACATCCAGGATAGTAAACCACAACAATGCTCGCTTAGCTGAGGTCTGGCTCGATGAGTGGAGGCAGTTCTACTACTCTATTAACCCAGGTCTGAACTAACAGTGCAGTTTCTTTTTGCACATTCCATTCCCTCCTTTGCTTCATCTTTGATCTTCTGTTATCCTGCTTGTTTCCTTTATTCATCCTTTTTCATTGTACATAAGTATTCTTTCCTTTTATTTCTTTGATGGTTGCTTTCCCTCAGCTTCCTCCTAAAGCAATAGCACACACTTGTAACTGTTAGTACCTTTGAATGTTTATTTTGTTAAGTTTTTAATTTATTCAGTGAAAATGATTTACATAAACTACATAATTTTAAAAATTATTATTATTATATTGTAATTGCTAGGTATATCTGACATTTTGCTGTTTATGATTTGTATATTTATTTTATTTTTACTGTAAAACTGCTTGTTACCTCCAGTTTTTAAAAAAGTGTGTTTTTTTTTTATTTCCCCTTAAAAGCTCTTCAATAGAACACAATTTGATTTAATTAGTGATATTTCACTTAAAATTTATAAATCTATACTTGACATTTTTCTTCACAATATAAGAAATATTTTTTGTTTTATTCACCATGAGCCTTGAAATGGATGGCATACTAGTTGCTAATATTTGGTTATCTTTTTCCAATGTTTGATCAGATGTGATGTTGGTCCAATGCCAAGTGGTGTATCCGCAAATCTAGCTATTTTTTGAGTTTGTGATTTTTTCTTTTTAGTGATATTGAATAGTGATAATGGTGTAAGTGAGGTTAACTGAATTTAACATCATACGACCAATAATAAATTACCTACCTTACTTCTGCATCCATTATTTCCAACCCAATTTTCGTAATTTACCACATTTTCATATAAGTCACTTTGGCATAGCCATTACTTTAAAGTCTGTTTTCTTGTTGTCACCTAAATGGTAAAAATGCTGGTACGAGAAACTGTTCTTGCATTACGATTCTTCTATAAAAAAGAAATGAACTGGCTAGAGGTAAAAGGAGAAAAAACACTGATCACTAGGCAATTGATTTTATTACACCAACTTGCAGCCTATGAAAAATGATTTATTATTTGATTTTCACTGAATAAATTATAAGCTCAAGATGAACAGGAAAATATGTCTTGTGATTAGTATGATTTTCTTATTATTATTTATTATATTGATTACTCATTCTGTTGTTACATTACATTACATTCACTTATTGTAATATCTTTCTTTGTTATGATTGATGGCTAATAACATTTTTTTTGTTTGGGCTTGAGAAGCTAACATAAGCATGTGATTAACAGTTGTATCTCTAAATCTTTTTGATAAGTATTATTTTATTAAATGCTCTATCTGTTTTATATTTAAAGATAGAACTTTTTCTGGGTATTTAAATTGTGTATGTTTTACATAGGGGCAACAAACGTGGCAGTAGGAGATGTCTCAGAAAGGAAAGGTTTAAGAGAAAAGCTGAAATGTAAATCATTTCGTTGGTACTTAGAAAATATATATCCTGAATCCCAAATGCCATTGGACTACTATTATTTGGGAGAGGTAATTAGTTTCATATGATTTGTTATATAATGTTTTGTAACATGATTAGTGTAATAGTATGTATTATTCAATTATTGAAGGAAGTCAGTCGAATGCTCTACATATCATGGGTGATAAATATTAAGGACGCAGTCATTATAAAGTTTTTATTAAAGCCAACGTTTCAACCCAAACATGTGGGTCATCATCAGGGCATGGTTCGAGCACTGATGGTATTCAAGTACTTGAACTTTAAACAACCAGTGAAAATATTTTTCTCTCTTTCTTTTTACTGGTTCTATCAAGGATTTTAGGTGCTTAAAATCTTTTTGAGATAATCCATTTTGCAAAAAAAAAAAAAAAAAACATTTTAAATCAGAATAGTATTGTTATGTTCAGCTCATTTTTATTTAACAAAAATGGGCTGTCCTTTTTGCGTTATGATATGATATCAATGGTTATATGTTCTTATTTGGTTTTTCTTTCTCTGCTTCTGCTTCACTATATGTTTCTTCTTGTTTTATCCTATCTGTATTTGTGTGATGATCATTAATTTGCCTTTATGGTAATATTTTTAATAACCATTGGTGCCATTTTCGGATTAGCAATTACAAAGGAAAAACAAAATAAAATATGATTTCATTTAATCTGGTAGCATTTAGATGCTTTAGTACTTCCATACTTCAATCCCTCAATTTTGGTTTTATAAATTTGTATCATTCCCTCTCTCTCGTTTTTAAACTAACTATTGGTGTTTTCTCTTAGAGGTCAGAGCGGCAGCATAGAAGGAAGAAAATTTATACTTCTTTCCATTGGGCTTATTTAAAAGTATTATAAAAAATGTCTAAGTTTTAGACAATCAAAATTACTTGAGTTATTATCGACTTAAGGTATCATTGAACTAAACCATTTGATAGGTATTGAGTAAATCCCAAATATATTCAATTGCAATGTAAAGTGGTTGAGAGTTTGCAGACATCGTGGTTACTCAGCCAAGTAAACAGTTAATTTAGATATTCTGCAACTTTGTTAATTTTTGTGTCACTTTATTAAGTTATCCTAGCATAAATTATTGGTTATTAGTTACTAACATAACTATAAGGTTATATGATAAAAATGAACTAGTGCATTTATTTATACATAAATATATTTATCTTTAGAAACTTTTCACTACTTTGATTTTCTGCATTAGGTTAAAAATTTGGAGAGTCAGAACTGCCTTGATACATTAGGAAGAAAAAGCTCTGAAAATCTGGGAATGAGTTATTGTCATGGATTGGGTGGAAATCAGGTATAAATATTACTATGTTTTTCAATATAAATTAAATAATTTTTTTCTTGAAATTTTCTGTACTTGTGGACAGATTTGACTTAACAGCTTCCTGCAGAACCTCATCATATCCATTAATGGTTGCCCGTGGCCCTTCTTCCTTTCCAATGTCGTATCTCCACTGCTAAATTTTTCAAACCAACGCTGTGCTGTGCGCTGGTCGAGGACACCTTCCCCTTCATATTTAATTATTTCACGAGTTGATTCAGTGACTGTGAAATTTTTTTTCCAGTAATGCCTTAAAATTACAAGAATTTCGTAGGACACTGTCATGTTTCTTCTTTGAAATAAATAACTAAATTGAGGCATTTTTTGAAGAAGTCAAATGAGATTAAACAAGCTTAGAGAATGCTCTAAAGTATTAAATATTGGTAAGTATTAAAATATTTAGTCCTTTGAAATCTTGAATTTGATAAAAACGGTAATTATTTTTTATACACCCTATTAGGATAAATAATAAAATTAAAATAAATTGTGAACAATAATAAAATATGCATTTGATTATATATATAATATATATAAAATAGAGTTCATATTAGAATATCTTGCATAAGTCTACATTTCAATCTACGGGATGATATTGGAGTTCATATGTTTGAAAGTTACTGCACCTTTAACTGCTGGTAACTGAGAATTCTAAGCGTTTTTTAATGAAATTGTCTATTGTTTCTATTTGAAGTTCACGATGAAGTTGACTATTTCTTACAAACCTAGGAGCATCCACTGCAATCCTCAAAATCTTATTTTGAAAGAATTGCATTTTTTTTTTTTTTTTTTATACAGGATGCTGCATCCCACACTTTGCAACAGTACATCATTAGTGGCCTTAGTATTATCTTGTAAAATTTGATTTCTGGTTTTGAAACAAATCTATGAAGGACAAAGAGTTTAGCCATAATTCATCCTTTTTTTTACCAGCACTTTACCATAATCAGATAATGACCGTAATGTAAAAATCAAGTTAAAGCAGAAATATTTTATCCACTAATTATGAAATATAGAAATACAGTCTAATCTTAACTATATAAGTTGTTGGATTATCATACTTTTTTTTTTTATATTTGGGTTTTATACAACTTAAGGAGTCATATCCCCAAACACCCAAAAGCCACTGCTCCCTGTCCATCCAATCTCCTTCACGAAGCCCTCTGGCTGCCATGCTTTCCTCCACGTCCTCTGTCCATTTCTTCTTTGGCCTTCCACGCTTCCTTCTTTCAGGTGGCATATAGTTATAAATTTTCTTTGGCCAGCGGTTATCATCCATCCGCATTAAGTGGCCATACCACTTTAGCCGTTTGGTCCCGATCAGGTGAAGGATGTTCTTTTGACATCCGACCTTGTCTCTAATAGCTGCGTTTGGGATCCGCTCGATTCTGGATATGCCACAGCTTCTTCTCTAAACAGCATATAGCTGTTTATTATCATACATTCGACTTAAAATGTTTGAGACTTAGTTTTATAATTTCAATATTTGTTGCATCATTATATATATATATATATATATATATATATATATATATATGTATATTAATTGATTGACTGATTTAATTGAGTCAATGTAACTTTATTTTTTCAGGTATTTGCTTATACGAAACGTCAGCAAATAATGTCAGATGATAATTGTTTGGATGCAGCGAATATTGATGGACCAGTTAAGTTAGTACGATGCCATGGAATGGGAGGAAATCAGGCTTGGGTATATAATGAAGAGGTATTTATTAATCATTCTTCGTATTTTATTTTTAGATATTTTTGACATGATCCATGACTAAAATTTGGGTTGTTAGAAATTACATGTCTGACAATTTTGTTTATTTTTAACTTTAACTTATTTTTAACTGTAACAACTAATTGTGACAATTGGCTGAATTTGTCTCTTTCAGATATGACCTTACACCATTTTTTTTTTTTTTTCAGCAACTATTCCCTTCTTATCTACCATGTGCAGTCATTGGGTCACCAATTTCAATTAACTTTTAGATTTAGTGATACTACATCGAAATATATCAAACATACATGCCGGTGTACATTCCTATAAGATCTAGGAGCGAGCGGAGAGAAAAAAAAATTTATACAAAATTTATGTTTTTTATTCTTTCCTCATTTTAAGGTTATTATATATCAATCGATTTCTTCTTTTGTGCAGAATAAGGAGAAAATATTGGCTGTCTTATTAAATGAGTTATAACATTCATAAATTTCAAAAACCAAAAAGGTGCTGCCTAAAATAGACCAAGTAAATTTTTGTTCTAAAAAGCAAATTAAATTCGTTTTTAGGGCCCTTTAATTAAATATGAATCTTTTCAACTCAATTCAAAAACCCTTAAATATGAATTGTTATATAAATAAAAAATACTTCTTTCAATATTTGATTTTCTTGGACAAGTTTTTTTCTGGCCTCAATTAAAGCATTCATAACTCCTCAGGAATTTCTTCAAATTCAATTTGTGCTTAAAAACTCTTTAATACTAATTCTTATAGAAATCAAAAATTGCAAATTTGAGTACTTGATTCTTTTTTAATTTTATTTTACCGTCAACTAAAAAAATTCATAATTTCTCAGGATTTTCTCCAAATTCAACATTCATAGTCGGGGAGCCTGGGGCAAATAAGGTGTCACATTTAATACTTAGTTTTGTCCTTATAGACTGATCATATCCATAGGCCTGATGAGAAAAATGCATATCTGCCAGCATATAGCTGTTTATATAAAAAATGGTGGGCATGTGAAGATAGATAGAGACCCTAGATAAGTTGTAAGCATATATATAAAGAGGGCTTTATAGATATATAAAGTTATCAACCTTTCAATTTATAGTATTTACAGTCTTAAGGCATGAAATAATAGTCAGTTACCCCATACCCGTGGATATAAAGTCAAAAAATAGAATTTACAATTAAAAAGGTTTACTTTTTTCCGTTTTTCGCTTATATCAGTGAAACTATCTTTAATAGTGCGATGTGTGAAAATAAAGCTGACAAAATTTGCAATAGAAATCATTATATTAGTTTTTTCGCTATATTGTATAGTTTTCGTGATATCCGTCCTTGTAATTCACTAATTTCAAGGAGAGAAAAAATGTATCACATTTTTCTCATTAGTTGACTCGCCAACTCTTTATCTTTCAATTTTACGAAAAAGTCATAAGGAAGAAAGTTGTTTAATATTAAATTTTCTTTAAGAATATGTATTACTTTACTATCTTATCTTCAACTATTCAAAAGCTAGAGCAATTATAATTTAATGATTAAACTCCGAAACTGTACAGAATAACTTACTTTTCTTATTTTTTGTTATTACACAACTCTTAATCTGTACATAAGACAGTATATTATATAAGACAATGCATAGATTAATGTAAGGAATGGATGGACAAATAAAAAATTATATATCTGTGGCTCATGTGCATAGTGTATTGAGTGCAAATATCATATTTATGAAAAAAACGCCATTGCAACGCAATTTCACAGGTGCAAATTCAATTTTCGAGATTAAACCCATGATTCACAAAGTAATGTTCATCTAAGTAATACCTTAGCCCAATAAACACAAAGAAAGACAGCTTTCTAGTGATAACCATAAAAATTCACAAAATTGTAGTTAACACTTTGCACATTTGTCACAGATATATATTCTATAAAAAATATAGGATTTTCCTACTTTATATATATGAGTCTACTGTTTCCTGGTTCTGACTCGAATCCACTATAGTTAAAGAGTTAAGAACACAAAAACAAATCTAACTTGCTTTTTCGTAACAAAAGTTTCCTTGGCTTACTTTACAGGAAGTGCAATTACAGTTGTAATATATAATTTATAACGTGTTATAATCAATAAATCAAATCAGTTGGTATATAATAACCTTAAAATCCAGGTAAAGCAAAGGTAAAAATAAAACACTTTGCTTTGTTTAAAATTACATAAATTTTTTCCCAGCTCCTGGGGTCTATTGGAACAAAGACCAGGACATATGTTTAATATTTTTCAAATTAATATCACCAAAAAAAGTTGGTTGAAATCTGTGATCCACTGACTGCAAATTCAATTCCCTTGTTAGTGCAATAAGTGTGTTCTATATTCTATATTTTATTTTTTCTCAGCAAATTGAAATTTAGTCCATTCAAGAAATGAAAAGTTTTCACTGATCTGTTAGGTCTTTAGGAACTGCCATTTTTGGCACGGAATTGCTTGGGTACTTTCAGGCTCTGCCTTCACAACCTTTTTTTTATTTCAATATAAAATCTGATGTGCAGGATGTCCCAGGTGGAAATGTTATTAACAGAGGATATCGTACCAATAATATAGCTCAGCACTGCCAACCATGGATTCATATCTTGAAATGAAATGAAAAATAATTTTAGTTTGGGACTAAAGTCCCTTTAAAATAATAGCAGAGTTCAAAAAATATATATGCATCAGGCTGGCATGTAGATATAATACAAATAGATTTGAAAAAATTCTTTTGTGTTAGATAGACCGTTTATTGAGGGAGGTTTTAGGCTTTGTAACATCACGTTACAATCTATAGGAAGAGAACAATAAACGCATATGTTAATCATGAAAACTACAGGCAATCAGGCTAATAAAGCTTGCTGTAAATATTGTTTAAAATCATTGTAAATAAAGTGTAGGGACAATTTTTTTCTGTCATAATAATAATAAAAGGCTTAGCGAACCCAAAGGTTCGATGCCGACACCACCAAATGCTTATTACACACCTCTCTCCACTGTTCGCTGTCCAAACCCAGTCCCTTCAGATCGGCTTTAACCTTTCGGTACAGCAAATATTAACCTTTTAGGAATTCTTTTGTTACTAAGCCCAACAATTTTACAAGCCCATTTGATTCGCAGAGATGTAATCACCTCAATTATATTAACTGGATATAGTTCACGTAATTCAGAATTATGTATCCGTCTAAACTCTGCAGTTAGCTCATCCTTCTTCAGTCCTGATATTCTAAGCAATACTTTATTTTCAAAAACCTTAAGACGTTGCTCATCCTTAAACTAAGCGGTGACCACATTTCACATCCATAAAGAGAACGGTAGGTAAAATACCAAGTATTTCCCGCCATCACCCTAGCCTTAATCTCCTCTTCAATTTAATGTTATCGTATACCCTAGATACCTAAACTTCTCTACCTGTTCAAGCATATTGCCCTCTATATCGATATCACCAACAGTATCGCCATTTTTTCAGCTAACCATGTATTTTGTCTTATGCATGTTTATTTTCGAGCTCTAGTTCTTAACCGTCTTTCATTAACGTTGTTGTATTTAGTTTTATAATTTCTATGTCTTTGCTTAACAGGACCAGATAATCCACATAGCTAAGCAAGGGTGTTGACGTACCCAGATCCAACCCTTTTTTGGTATGCATTACTTCCCAAATCTCATGTTCTAATGTCAATTTGAACAGGACAGGAGAAACAGAATCGAATCACCCTGTTTTAATCCCGAATGAACTTCAAACTTTTCGGTTAAATTATTACCGATTCTAACTTTATTAAGTGTTTCTGTCAAGCACATCCTGACTAGATTTCCTAATTTTTTTGGAATCCCCTGCTCGATTAGATTATGCAGTTTCTGGTGGTCAATAGAATCGTAAGCCTTTTTGAAATCGATATACATCTGGTGAACATCACAGTTATACTCTAATTTTTTATCCAATATTTGCCGTAAAGAATATATTCGATAAATAGTCGAACGGTTCTTTCTAAATCCGCATTGGTGAGTCACCGATAATTTCCTTGGCGTATTCTATGATATGAGTAGTTAAGATCAAAGTGAATATTTTATTACATATTGGAAGGAGTGAAATTCCTCTGCAGTTATTTCAATTTGTCCTCGACCTCTTTTTATGAATCGGAATGAGAATAGATTCTTTCCATTCTTCAGGTAATATCTCATTCTCCCAGATCTTTTTAACCAACAAATGTATTTTAGAAACTCCAGCTTCTCCACATGCCTTAACTAATTTACTTGGAATATTATCGGTTCCCACTGCGTTATAAGATTTTAATTTTCTGATAGCTACTTCAACTTCCTCTTTACTCAATTCTTCTATTAACGGTTCAGCTCTCGGGTACTCAAAAGGAGGACACAGATAATAATGTCCCATATTTAAAATATTGTCAAAATGGTTCTTAAACTTATTTAATATGTCTGCTGGGTCGGTCAGAATATTGTTATTTTCATCCCTATTCCAGACGCGACGGGCTCTAAACATTTAGGTGATCTGTTTATACCTTTGTACACTTCTCTTATGTTGTTTTCGGTTCTATTAGTTGATTTTTAAGATACTCTCTTTTTTTATTTTTGAACAATTTTTTCGTTTCATTCTTTGAGGTTCGGAAGTATTCCAAATTGTCTTCACTAGGATTATTTAGAGCATTTAATTTAGCGACTTTTCTTTTTTTTTTTTTATATATAATTTTTGTCAAACCACAGGTTGTTATACTTATTTTCCTTTTTTCCAAGACACGAGTTACCGACCGCTTTAATATTTTCCCCGATCTCTGCCCATAACTTGTCAATATCCTCGCGGCCCTCGTCAGAAGGTTCTAAAGCTTCAAACGTATTCTTAACATCTAGCTCAAATTGAGTTCTAATTGATGGATTTTTAATTTTTCCAAATTATAATTCTCAAAATCGAAACGGTTTTCTTTTCTCTTTTTTATATTAAGTTTTTGTCAAAGTTTCGCAATTACTAATTCATGATCCAACCCACATTCTGCTAGACAATAATACCATACATTAATTAAACTGCTTTGCCACATATGTTGTATCAAGACATGATCAATTTGATTTTGTGTTTGCGAATCCGGTGATGTCCAGGTATATTTATGAATATCCTTATGTTTAAATGTAGTACTTTTAATTATCAAGTTTTTTGAGATGGCAAAGTTTATCAGACGGATCCCTTTATCATTACTATATTTGTGCAAACTTTCTTTGCCAATCATCGGAACATAAACTTCTTCCCTCCCCACCTTTGTGTTTCCATCACCTATAATTATGTTCATGTAGTTTTGTAGTAGTTTATCATAAACCCATTCGAGTTTATCGTAAAATTTGCATTTGACTTCATCAATCGGACAATGTATGTTTATTAACGCAATTGTACCCAGTAACCTCATTCGCGACCAATTTTAACCCACCTGCTGAATTCAAACTCCTTACGTTCTATGTACCAATACTTAAATCCTTATTTTTCAACTTGCACGATGAATCTCCTAAACTTTTTACTAAATCCCTTTTTATGTCATAGATAAATTTATTATTAGAGTATTGAAACTAGAAATGAAAGTAGACTGTTTTTCCAGTAGGGAACTGTTACTTATCTAGATCAAGTTGTGGAAAATACCAATGTATATTTACCTATTTATACTATTAGAAGAAAGAACTAAAAATATCGTTTGCATAGAAGTTCAATAAGTTTTCTTTAAATTGCTTAAGACATTTAGCAAGGAGGGTAATCAAGAGCCCACTTTATAGAGGGTTGATCCACAGCTGATGAAGTAAATTAAACAATTATTTAACCTGCCATCAGCCTGATTTGATCATAGGATCTTCAGCTTTGAAATTTAGTACCCAATCCACTGAGCTACCCCGCTTCTTTGTTTAAGATATACCTCATAAAAACTTTATTAGTGTTAAGCTATCACACAAAAGGCATTTTCTCTTAAGCCTTTTTTTAAAAAAATGATAGCTCATTTTATTTTTCCTCATAAATTTTAGATATTATTCAGTCAACCTGGAGCGCTTGATCATGTATAAAAACAGGCTTATGTAATCTAAATTTAACTCTAATGAAGTGGTAGATTACATCTAGTTGGTAATCATTTATTAGTTAAAGTGAAAGTATTAATCAAATATTTGGTTATGTTTTAGGATGGGACAATAAAGCACGTTAACACAAACCAGTGTCTGCAGAAGCCTGATCCCAGAGACTCGTCCCAGCCATTGCTGAGGACCTGTGATAATAGCCGAGGCCAGCAGTGGATTATGAATAGTAAATTTAAATGGCAGGCTAATAGCTAGGAGTTACCACTTTCCTAGGCTAAACCCTGAAATTATCAGACCAACTCTTTTTATAAATTGTGATTAGAGCAATAAATATTATCTATATTTTTGTTATTTTAACTAAGTGCCCTTTCATTTGTCATTAAAGGTTTATACTTATACCACGTAATATGAAAAATATTGGCCACTTAATAGTGCCATGGTAGTGATAGGTTTTGTTTTCATTTAAATAAATATATTCTATAAAAAGTAATACTTTAGGCAAAAATTAGATTTTTAAAGTATGTTTAGAGTACATTCATCAGTTCATTTGGTTAAGTTCTTAGAGAACTTTTTTTTTAAAAAGTCTGTGAAACATGGTTGTTTAAAAAATTCAGGGTTTATCACTTTGAAGTGTGATAACTTAACTAATTAATTTTATTGATTATATTTCAATTCATATAATATTCTTCTTTTATTTGTTTAATTTCCCATCATGATTTTCAATATGTAAAGATAATCAAGATGCTCATAATCTGTTTGATAACTTTACTAGTTTGGAACATTAAAATATTAACCATTCATTAAAATATTTATTATAAATTTAATTGTTTTTTGTTCAAGTTATCTCCAGCATTTTTTTTTTCTCTTAATATACTTAAATATCTTAAAATGTGCAATTTTACTTAAATATTAGAATAAATTATTTATTTAATTTTTATATCCGTATTAGTATGGTTGTAAAACAAATTTAGTACGTAACTTATTATCAGAGTTTAAGCTTGTATATAAATATATATTATATTGTCAAAATATTTTTTATAAACCATAGTTATTATTATGTACTTAATTGTTTATATTTATTATGCTCATTATTTTAAACAAATTATTGCATTTATTGTTAAATTTTTTATTTGATTCTTTGATATGAACTATGACAATCCAAGTGTTTGTAATTAGATGTTGGCTCATTAGTAGAGCATTGTTAATATTAAGAATTAACAATTTAGTACAAGAAAAATAAGTTTATCTTTGACGTGATATCATATCAGGAGGTTCGGGTGGTGGTACAAGTTTATAATTAAAAACTTATTTAGGAATTTCCTACATTTGGATGATACTGTTCTATCTTTTTTTTTTTTTTTTTGTATAAATTATTAAACTGGATGGTATCATTTTAGAGGAAGTACATATGTACGTATGTAAATAATTCAAAGTTTTAAGTATAGCAATAATGTCTTTCTTGTTTTTCCTAAAAAAAAATTTATAGTTGTTTCCTAATCTCATATTATTCTTAGAATAAAGTTATAATAAATTAAAACTTAGTTATAAAATGTTATTTTTCCTTGACCAGTGGTTCTCCAAAAAAATTAAAAATAAAAAAAATTATATAAAGTTAAAATAATTCACTGCATTTTTATAAGGTTATTTATTTATTTAATGAAGTCATTGGTTCCATTTACAATATCTCCATATAGCTTAGTCTATCTCTTATTTTTTTATGTGTACTACTTTATTACATTATCATACCATGGAAGTAATTTTACCTTTTAAAATAATTAAAGTGAACCTGACAATGCATTAACTTGTTTCATTATTTCTTACTTTTTTCTATCTCCATTTCCACTTTAAATTTCTTTTAATTCATATTAATAACAATCTGTAATCAAGGTTATATTTATTGTTAGATTATGTTTGTTTTGATAAAATTATCATGAATTTTTCTTTGGCATTATTGTCACTATTCTTGTTTGTTTTTCAAAATCCTTGTTGATTTTCAGACTCATTCAGATAAAGGGACACTAAGGTATTGTTCCCTCCTGTAATATCAACATGTCTTGTATTTCTTTTTTCTGTCCTAACCAATATTTTATACCTCATATTATCTTGGGTTATATTTTTAGACTTTCCTGTATATGTAATGTAAAGTTCTGTGGAACCTATTTTTCAAAAGATTTTTATTAGGGACCAATAGCACCTAATACCAACTGTTATCCTTGCCTTTATTTCTTCTTTTATATTATTATCCTCAGTGATAATGGAACCAAGATACTCGGATTGTAGTACAATTTATACTATTTAAATTTTATTAATACTATTTTGTAAAATAACGTTTTTTCTAGTCTGCTTTTGACCACCAGTGACAGAAAATTGATCTCTATAAATGATATTAATATTTATTCCATAACAAGTTTATTTCTTTTCCTTCCCTATTTCATTGGCTGTTGTTAATTGGGATTCTAAAATTTCAATATATTATTAATGTAACTATGTTAAAATCATTATGGATGTTCTTTAAATTGCTTCAATGAACCATTACAAATATTCCAATTATACATGTCAGAAATAGTTTTTATATTGAATATGATTTCTATAATTTTAATCTTTCTAAGTTTTACTCTACTGATAAGTTAAAATATCATAGGTTAATAAATAATTTAATTACATCATGTCATGACAATGTTGATTTTATAATTCATTAGTCATTGTTAAACTCAAGTTATACTGTGTTGGTAATCGTTTCATTCAGTCATTTTCTGTTAAAATTTATTAAATGGGCATATATTTATTGAATTTAATTATTATTTGTTATACTTGGCTTATTTATTTTTAGCTGCTAAAAGCACATTATATTGTACATTAATCCCAGTACATATTTATACATAACAAAATAATTTTTCAGATTTCAAGTTCACAGTTTTCAAAAGGGTATTTTACTAATGAAAATTTTATGATACCTGTTGGGTAAGCATTTAGAATAATTGTACTGATATTCATAAAGAGATTTCAAGTATTACGATTTGATTGATGCCCTGTTTATTTTTATTTTATTTGGATGAGCCTTGCATTATATTTATTTTTGGATTATTATGAAATAATTTTTAAGCTTAACAGACTGTTAATCTTCATGAAATTGATTCTAATCTAGTATAAACTGATTCCCTAAATTAATTGATTAATTATCTTTCTGGCTACTGGAACATCAAAAGTCAAATTTTAACCACAATAAGATTGGTTGTATAGTTACAAAAAATAAAAATATCAATACACACACACACACACACTACAATGACAAAAGAATGGAACGTACTGAAATTGGAATCCACAACAATGAATTTTTTTCTAATTCTTCACATTTTTTCACATTCTTCACAAGTTTTCTTTTAATTTTTAAATCACTCATTACAATAAATGACTTAATAATTAAAGTTTAACATTGCATGGTTACACAAATGTTTAGATAAAACTTGAACTCAGAGTCTCATTATTATTAAAATTTCATAAAAATCCATCTGTAAAAATATTAAGAATTTACAGGTTTTAAAAACATTACTGTATATACATACATATGTTCATATACATATTATTTTAAAGAATATGTTTTTTTTTTAAAGATGAGTCCTCGTGTGTTACTAGGACTATACATATATATATACATACATACATATATACATACATATATATTATCTTAAAAATTAGTTGTTTTTAGAAAGGATAAGCTGTCATCTTCATCTGACAAGCAGGAGAACAGAACCATCATAAGTTAGCCTGATGAAAGATCGAAATTGGTAGCAAGGAGAGAAATTATATGTGTGTGTATATTTAGAAGGACATCTTTCTATTCACTTTCAATTTCACTTCTGTAATATCGAGGCTCAATTCAAGATATTTTTTTTAATAAAAAAATATATATCCACTATTTGTTTATCACCTCTACCTATAAGGGTCATTGGTGCTGTGCTGTTTCTTTTTTCTTTATATATTTTGGTAATGACCAAAGATTTCCATAATTTGTTCAATGTTTTTGCTGTCTTGTAAGTGACCATTGAGGTTTCATAAGTTTATAGAAGCCCCAGGATTTTATTCTAATGGCAATCTATTAGTAATTGTTCCACAGTCTTGTTCATTCACCGAGCATTCTCAGCAAACATTTCTAATTTTTACAGATGCTATTCATTTGAAAATTTACAGTTGCATATGCAGAGACAGACGGTATGAGATAACTTCTTCTCACCTTAATTTTCTTTTGCTCATCTTCTATTTGTAAATCTCTGATTTCCCCCAATTTCGAGCCACTGATTCTCTCTACATTTTCTTATTCTTTTAAAAATGTCCATATAGTATCATTGATCCAATCCCCTGCAGTAAGAAGCTCGAGGTTTGTAGCTTTTTAAATCATTGTTTTTTCTGGCCCTGGTTACCGTACAATCAGATTTCTCATTGACAAAGATACCAGAATGGCTAGGTACTCGTTAAAGAATGAATGTTTGTTCATTTAACTGGATTGACCATAACGAAATTTTTAATTTTTCGTTATTGCATTTTTTCATCACTGAATTTTGTAGGGATATGAACGCTCATAAAATCTTTTACTATAATTGATCTAGGCATGTACATTCTCTGTATGTATTGTAGGGCTTCCCTCACAGCTGTATATTAAAAACTGAACATATGCCTGGCAGGATGTTGGATTTCATTTTGATCGATTATTACTGCACAGCCAACATATTTATCTAACTTTGAACCAACAGTGTAAAATGTTTAATGTTTCCATTTTTTTATAAATGTTTTTTTGAATTTTCAAAATCTAATCAACTATTTTTAAAAAAAGGTTAATACTATTTTTTAAATATTCTCTTCCTGTAAGCTTTTATTTCATAATAATCTTGGGTTTGTCAAAAAATTAAGATGAAATTAAATCTTTTTTTATCTTCCAACTTATTATATAGCACCAAACTCCTAAAATTACCAATTATTCAACTAGTTCAATCAATATTTTATGGATTAAAGAACCTTCTTCACAAGCTCATGTTAAAAACGATTTCATTTAAATTAATATTTAGTTATAAAGCCTCCTTTTTGTTTTTAAGGGACATAAGATTTGAACTTCGGATTCATTCCTTCTTTATTTATAAATTATTTTTATGATAAACAATTTCTAAAATCTATTATGAAAATATACTCATTATAACCAAGAGAATTTGCAAATGTCATAATTTTAATATTTAACTTCCTCTCACAAGGTCTGTGATGTTATTTTTATGGATATAAACAAAGTACAAGTGGTGTACAAAAATGCATTTACATACTCTTTAAAAATAAATTTAAGGTTGCATTGGAATAACAGAAAATTAAAATAAAATATAGCATTTCAAAAATATAATCATGATTTATTATTTGTTAAATATGAAATTGGTTCATGTTAGCAAGTTTCATAAATATGGAGTCAATTGAGTTCATAGGGTGATTAAATTATAATTCAGCTTCCAAATGGTGGTCTTTCATTATTTTTCGAATACGATATATGTAAAATTATGTCTGGTAAAAATTTGAAATTATTTTTTATGAAACATTATGTATTTCTAATTTAAATTATTAATTGTAGAAAATTAAACACATTCCATAGTGTACATATCTAAATAAAATTTCATATTACTTCTTTTCAAGACAGCTTTTATTTTATTTTTATCCTATTCCTCTAATTAGACTCTACTGAGTGAACCATGTGATTGATCGGTTTCTTTATAACAGAGCAATTAGAATAATGAAGTTTTTCACCGCATGGTGGATGACAATAAATTATTTTAAATAATGTAATAAGTGTGACCATCAAGAATGTCATATAAGTCCACCAGACTGAATTCTGGATTAAAAAAGATAGAAAAAATCCTGACTTATCAAGGTATATTAATACAAAATAATTAATTCAAGTATTATTTTGGATGTTATTAGACTAAAAATGATTTGTATATTCGGATATTAAGTACAATAAAAAAACTTTTAGAAGTGAATATTTAAAAACTATTATTTTCATATTATTATTTAAAACTAAATATTGACTTATGTCATTATAACATGCCAATACAAAATAATGTAGCAATAATAGAAATATCAGAATAGAAGGGAAAACCAGATTTTGTGCGATTACCTCCCAATCTGGTGAAAAATTAAATATGAATGTTCAAAAATTAATAAGAAAAACAGAATGCAATTTGAAAAGTAGAATTTAAAAATTACCACTTCTTGAAGTCAGAACGATAGAGCGAACGGGAAAACCCATGGATCTGACATCTTAAGTAGTAGTACCTAACTCTGGGGGGATACCAGTATCTAACTTTAGGCCTTCCTAGTCCCCAGTGTGTTAAAGAAAATTGGATACTTCTAATTAATAAATTCTGATAATTTCACCAGCTTTGAAATTTTTACTTTCACTTACGTATAAACTTTTTACATCACTTAAGTATAGCGATCGTGAAAATTTTCGAACTTTTTTTTTTATAGGTGAAATATTTTGATGCTTCAATTCTATCTAGGAAAACATAAGTGTTATATTTATTACAGAATAACTTTTTAACAGAATTCACTCATTACCTACCCCTAAACTAATAAACTATTAACTTGATTTTTCAAGGCTTTGGACTAAAATATTAAGATTTAAAGTAACGAAAGTTAATGTCAATGCCCAATAACTAGAGCATATCAAAATCACTTGCAAATTTCTATTTTAAAATGTTAATTAAATGCCATTTTTGAAGATTACTGTAGGCTTCTTCACTTCACTTTATTGTGATATCGATCAGAACTGCAGTTTAGGAAAACCTTTTGATAATAAAAAAACTCAAGTTTGTAAGGTTATATAACAGAAAATAAATCTAAAAACTGTCTTCTTCCCAAAAAAATGAACTAATTAAAAAAAAAAAAGTGGGTGCTCAGCAAAACATAAATTTATAGGTTGTGAGTTTAATTGCCTAAGACAAAACAATCTTTTACCATATCATTAGAATCTTTATCCAGGGGTCCATTGATAAAGATTATCACATCACAAAAACACCTTTTGTGGCCTGTGAGTTTGTTCTGATTCGAAACAATTTACAGTAATACTTTCTGTTTATTAATGTCACATAGAAAATGAACTTTTGATGGAATATAAGATCTCCTGATCAAGGCATTTCAGGATGAATTTATTTAAAGACAAGGGTATATAGTATAAAAAGCAAACAAAATATATTATTATAATAAAAACTTTATTGACAATAATAAAAATTAAATTTACAGGTCCTTAACTTCCCTAAGGCGCCTAACTGCTGACCTAACTGAGGTTGCTGCGGTTGTGGCAACTACCCAAGCGCCGCCAGCAACAGTCCTCTTGCACCGCTTGCAGGACCAAATACCGACACAGGTTCTTTTCATTGCAGTCTGTAAAATAAAACATAATCATGTGAATAATTTACATGTTAAAATACAAGATTATATCAGAAATAAGATAAACTTGAATAAAAAATTTAAATAAAGGATTTCTATGAAAAATAATAAGAACTTTTAACTATTGAAAGCCTAAGTTTCATCTAATTTTATAAATTGTCAATAAGTTTTATAAGTATATACATAATGGTATTCATCCATACAACATGAAAAAAAAATCAGACCTAATTAAAGTATCTCAAGACGCTTTTCAATAATTTATTGGATTGGAGCATGACTTTAAATAATTAAAAAGTTATGCCATCAATAATAAAAAATTGTGACTTAACAATTAAATTCAAAGGATCAAAGCATTTTAACTACAAAATATAGCAAAGAAACAATAATTTTAAGGACGAATAAATCAATATGTCATAAACCACTAAAAAAATAGGTCTGTTTCAGTGCGAGTTTTGACTGCACTCTTCTCCGTTTCAAAACCTGTAGTTACCAGTTTGGTGATAGTCATTTCAGAACAGATTTAATATTTTACTATATTATGATTTATTGTTGTTATATAATCAATATCAAGAGATCCTGAGCCCACATGACATTACTGTAACAGCAATCAAGATAACAGTAGATGACTGCACTATATTATATTGTTGATGTTAGAAAAGTTTATTGTAAAATGTCAACTGGTAAGTAATTAATTGGAAATATATCATAGCATTTAAACAATCTCTTCCAATCAATCTTAATTATTAACTTTAGCATTGAAATTTCTTGTCAAGAAATTCCAAATCTTATATACAAATTTAATGTTTTATTCAATAATTGGTTATTTTAGTTAAGAAAATGAACAATACAGTCTCAATGTTTTTAAAGTAATGAATTAATTAATTAACAATATCCAACAAAAAAAGTAAAGGACATAAATTGGAGCCTGGTAACATGCTTTGATAAATTAAAAACACCTCACAATATTCCTTAAAAAGCAATATATGTGGAAAGAGGCTCCTTTGACTTTTTTCTTATTTTGTCTCATTTTTATAATTCAGAAAACAAAACAATAATGCAACAAGAACTTCAAATGAAAAACACAGATAAATATTCAAATAATTTTGTTTTTTAAGTCCAAGTTTACATTTTATACATGTACTTTTGAGGAGCTTGCTGCCAAAAACAGAAATCTCTCACTTACGATCGAAACTAATTTAGATGTTATTTTTTTCCTCAAATCTATCTTTTCTTTACACAATAGTGAATGGAGAGATCGTTTTTTCCCAGCCATTTTATTAAGTCGAAATGGGGAATGAACTTTGCTCATTTGTGTACTCATTAGAAAAAATGTACTAAAATTGTAAACTTAAAAACAAATGCATTCTTAAAAGGAATAACAATTATAATTATAATATAAAGATTTATCCAAATGTCTTTTCTCTTCAAACAGTATACTTTTGTAATAACAGTAAGGTAAGTGTTTAAGTTTAGTTAATCTAAGGTAATTTGACTAATAGAAATGTATATGATTCAGTCCAATTCAAAATAACATGCTGATTTATCTACTTCCACAAGACCAACTTGGCTTTATTAAATACATAAATAACTTAGTAAAAAAAAATACGGCTGCCAGCACCACCAATCTAGCTAACAAAAGCTTTTTTGATTAACAAGTAAAATATTAAAAACAACAGATATAAAAAAACTAGCAAATATCTCGAACATGAGTTTACTACAACATTTATTGCACGAGTTGTTACGGTTTGAAAGCTAATATCACAATTGAAGTATCATTTACAAGACAAACTTTTTTGTCTTCATCACAATCCATGCACCGCAGGACTTATTGGATGTCTTGATGTGGCCCGCAGGCTATACATTTTGAAGACCCCTGGTCTAGATCAAAAGCAGTACTCTCAGCAGCTTTGAATAAATTTGAAAAAGCTGGAAAAAATTGGGTCTAAAAATGAATAAGCTTCAAATACCTCAAATCTTTAGTGAAAGGAAAACATGACACCACAGAGGAAATAAAACTGAGAAATGCAGCAGGGAAAAGACATTTTATGCCTTATAAAAAACAGTGCAGTTTCTCATAAAACAATCTTGAGACTAATTGTCATACAGGTGAATCCTGAGTCTTAACCCATGGATGCTAGACGATCCTCTAGATCTGAGAAAGGAAGGTCTTTTCAACATATCTTTGGGCCAATATGTCTAAGTGACAAATAGATAATAGAAAAAATTAGGAACTATATAATAAACCAATGTCAAGTTAAGTCGTACAAGATTGCTTGTACAAATAGTCAGGCACTTTAGGCAAAAAAGGTTTGGTAACATCAACCATAAATACTTAACTCAGTACAACTCTTCATTTTTGAGTTAAGTCTCTTCGCTTCCCCACAAAACATTTTAGAAAGTTTAATTCGAAATTTTCATGACCACAATACTTATTCTAGAGATATAGTAGTGGTAAACAAACACTATAGGCACCATTTTTTGTACTTATCAACAACACACCATCTTGAAATTGACATAATACCATTTATATTTCATTTTAATAGACAAATTGTTATACCTTCCCACAAAAGGAGCATGGGTACTTTCCATGTTGAGTTATTTCCATTTTCTTTACCATTTTTCGAAGAGAGGCACCATACCTGGTACCATATTTACCAGTGATTCCTACCTTTTTGGTGTGCTTAGCCTGTAAATAAAATAATTTGAAAATAGTTTTGATTAAACATAACCAATTCAAAAAAGCAAACTAGTTTTTCTTCTAATACTGTACTGATAACAAATTAAACAATTAAAATAGAAATCTATCAATAAATATTGTAATTATAGAGATACATTTAATTCATATAAAATAAATCCAATTAGATGAAAATAGATAAAATTACCATTGAAGACGATTAATCCAAGCGCTTTCAACTGAACGAATGGAACCAAAAGGCTGGCCAAGAGCATCTACATCCGTACAAACAATGCTGTAGAAAGAATTCTGAATTAATCTTTAATTTTAATATTTACCTATATATTTACAATATATTATAATTAAGCAATAAATAATAATTATTTAGAAAATACTGCAAGATAAAATAAAACTTAAAATTAATTATGTTGCTGGTTACATTTTCATTAATCAGTTGCGACAGTAAATATCACTAATTAAATTAAATGGTTTTAATTATTGATGTTGTAAATGATTCAAAACATAAATAATTTCTTATAAATGATTAAATATTGCAATACTTACAAATATCCATTCTCTTTGGCAGAGTTTTGACAGGAGCGTTTCCTATCTCTATGACATTATCTCTTATAACCTGTGTTAACTGTTGTATTATATAGTTGTCTTGATATAATTTTTTCAAGTTTTTGTTTATTAATATCGTCAATAATAAACTTATTAAATTTCGTAGTTCAGAATTAATAAGTGAATATTCGAACTATCTGTATTAAACTTACTGATTTTAGAAGTTAGCTTTTTATAGATTCTAGTTGATACAACAGGAGATAACTTTAAGTTAAAATACTTAATATCTTATTGACACTTAACTTTAAGTCCTGAAAAGGATTTTTTACTATATAAAATGAAAAATAAAGTAATAACAGTTTTAATTTGTTTGAAATTTTATACTATTTTGACATAGTAATTGTGTAATCATGACAAATTGACTGAGGAGGTTTATTGAATTGATTTAAAATGAGCAAGCCATCAAAAAACAAACGAGCTTCTAGTTCAAAAAGTTCTCGACAAGAAAGAGAAACAGCTCAATTCATTAACACTAGTTTTAGATCTGAAAATGATGGTGATGCCAGTTTACCCCATGTTCTAAGGTATTTATCCTGCTTGCTGGTAGTTAATTGTATTGATTAAAGCTTTCTATTGCCTGTATAGATGAGTTTCATGCGCATGAATTTCACGCATTATAATTCTGTATGCTCTATTATTTAATTGTTGTATAGGGATTTGTCCTATATGCTTAATGAGTTACATAAGTATTCAGGCTTTATCTATTGAATATTTTATCAGACATTCATGGCTTTTAATCTATTTCATTTGTAAAGTTGAATCATTATAGGGGCTTAAAGAAAATTAATATCTAACCAGTTGATTGAACATTTCAATTTGATTTTCTCAACCATCATATAGATTTTTCTTTTTTCATTTTTGCTGTTAAGAATATATCACGCTGTGTTTATAAACATATTCTTGAAAAATATAAGTATTAGATATGACATCTGACATCCTTAGTGTTTTTTTTTTTATTTAAACTTTTTTACACTTAAGAATGTTATTTTCCAGTTACCTTAAATATATCATACCTAATGACTTTTTTCTTGTATTATTCCAACTTAAAAATTAAAACATTATTATATTAGGTTAAAATTGTTGTATTGTTCACTTAATATTATTTAAAATTTTAAATATTTTCATGTGTCTTAAATTCCTATATTAGTAATTATTAATGCTGCCACTAAGTAACATTTTAAATATCTTAAAAATCAGCACTCAAATATAATTTGGAATGGGGACTTTAGATTTGACTTAATTATAGAAATACTTTCTAACCAGATTGTAGCCAAATGGGTTTGATTTGTTTTATTTTCCTTAATTTAAATGAATTAGGATGTTATTGTTGCAGATATTGTTAACTGTAGATCTTATAGTAGAAGTTAGATGTGGGCATGGTTACAATTACAATGAATTTACAAATTACAAATAAATGTTATTGTTTTATTTTTAAGTTATTGTATGCCACATTTTTGGTTGCTCATCAGAAATATTCGTAATATGTGGCATTCATACCTAAGCGGCATTAACACTTGAGCTGAAATGTCAACACAATGAAATAAGGCTTCTTATTTATGTGTAATTTAATCTCTTACCGAAACTCCAACAAATTTGACCTATTATTTAGAATGTTGTCAGCATTATCTATAACAGCCTAATTTTTCTGTTACTACCATTTGTATTTGTTGCAAAAGCTACCTACTTCATATCTCATAACATTCAACAGAAAATTAAGAGTTTATTTAACAAATATTTGCTCTTGGGAATATGTATAGATGTATTATTTCACTTGTATTATCTTTTTTAAGATAGTATTCACCGTGCTGTACTGCATTACTTAATAACTTGTTTATTTATCAGAATGTATTCTATTGATTGTGTTTAGGTCAATGTATATAACTCCAAACATCGAAAATGGTTTTGTTAAAATAATTTGTTTTCTAAAAAATAGGCAAAAATTATGTATTCTCCAACTTAAATATTTGAAATTAGTTTGTGAATATACCAGCGAAACAGTTTAAAATGTTTTTTGCTTCTTATAAAATTTTAATTTAAAGGGTTATACCCATTGATATAAGCACCATCAATATGTTCCGCTTAATTTGTTTTAATCTTTATTATTTCTGTCTTTTCAAGCAAAGGGTTTAAAAAAAAAATTGATTTTAAGTAGTATAATGATTTTAATATTAAATTATTTTAAACAAGTATAAATATATTATATTGTGTAAAGGTATAATTGTGTATATTAATTATTAAACATAGCATAAGTGCTAAAAAAATTATTACAATATTTCACACATTTTTGTAATGAATGTTATAATGAGATAACATCGCCTTCTTAACTGAACAAGCATTTCAGCAAGTAAAACGCAATAGTGAACGTTGTTGGAAAGATGAACAAACAACTTTAATAAAACATGAATGAAATAAAAACATCTCAGCTACTTGATGGTAGTTATCATAATTGAAATAGCTATCTTATTAATTCATTATTTTCACTTAATTATTAGGTGCTAACCCATAAGATATCTTTATCATATGAACTGACATCTTATATTCTTACGCCGATGTTTATTTTATCTTGTAAAGCATTGTTACTTATTCCTCATCCAACTGAATTTCAGTTGCATAGATCCAGCATTTTCTTCTTAACTAAATTTTCTTCTTTACTTTAGGATTTCTCAATTTTTTACAGTTTTGAAAAATAATGTTTAAATTGTTAAATGTATATGACATTTATTTAAAGAACTGATACTAAAAGAAAAATGTAAATTACAGTATTCAATATTAATTTTAGACAAAAAAAAATTAATGATAAGTAACAATCATTCTTCAAATTCTTTCATAGTTAATATTCTGCCATTTTTTTATTGGTCCTGACAATGAGAGACAGGTAATAATTTAAAATAAACCAAATTGAAGGTACCTTAGAGGAAGAAATTTTGAACATTTAAGCCTTGTTAAGCTACTTCAATCAGAATAAGATCTAGCTGATAATAAATACTATTTAATTATACATTGATATACTGAGTTTAATCAAAATTGTTAGAGCCATTTTCGAGAAAAATCATCCACTCTTTGTTGTTGAACACTTTTGTAATGTGCTGACCAATGGGAAGGACTTCTTTTACTCAGTTTATTTTCATTTCAGGTTTCTTCTTGTATTTTAGTAATAATACTAAATTGCAAAGAAATTAATTTGTGCATATCAAAATTCTGATGAACGTTTTGCTTTAAATATAAAATATCTGATCTCTAAGACCTAAATAATTCTAATTTTTTCTCTCCTCAGAAATGATACAAAGTTCTATCTTTGTACTTGAAAAAATTAAAAACTGTATCTTACATGATCTGTAAAACTATATATATCGTTGATTTATTGCAAAAAGTCACTAAGTAACATTCACTGACATAAAGAACTTCAAAGACGTTTTCCTGTATGAAATTTGAAAATTTTATTTGATATATAAAATGGTTTTTGTCATTTTTATGCATTTACAGTATTTTTGTATTGATAAATAAAGTTGAAATTCACAAAAAGAAATTTGAGAGTTAACCTATGTCAAAAATGCACTTGTGGTTTTGAAATAAACCCACGATATGAATATTTGAATAAAGTTCTTAAAGAAACTAAAGTAAACATATTTTTATTTTTTATTGTTCACTACCAGCAGAGGTACAGACACTTTATTTTGTGAAGTTTTACTTTTGTTATTTTTTTATAAATTTTAAATGCAATATTCTTGGCAGGTAATTTAAGAACCCATGTTTAGACATGGCTTATTGAAATATTTTCTATGTAATAGTTCAAATGTCACTTTTGTGAATACCATTGTTTATTTAAACTATTGATAGTATGTAGTTATTTTTCTGATTGTTCAGTTTTATTGTATTGCTTAAAATCTATTTTTGGTCAGGTAAACTATTGTTATTCAAGTGTGGAGAGATTCACAGTGTAGTTTACGTTGTATATTTATAAATTTTTATTCAATTTCTTTATTAGATTGAAGTTCATTAAAGTATCTTGGCTTTAAATAGAATACTTGAAAACAATATATCGCTACTGTTAGTGCAAAAGAACATATGTAAAATTGAATATTTTTACAGAACATAAAAACTGATTTTTTCTTTATGATTTATTAGTATAATTTCATATTTTATTCCCATCTGCTATTTATCTCTTTAGCAGAATACTTATAGCAGTTTCAGACTACAAAGTGTGTCATCTTTAGCACAAAGAGAACTAACATGTAAAATTGTTACATACGACCTTTTGCTACAATAGCGATATATTTTTTGATATTTATTATGGATTAAACACAGCATTTCACTTTTATGAAATATTATGTTTCTATTGCTATAATAAAAATTTAATATTGAAAAACATTCGTTTTTAGTAGCCTACCTTCGAGTTTCAGAAATAGCTCTTGTCAAAAGTATGAAGCCTCATGGTATTTTCTGTCAATATAAAGTGAAGGACGAAATAATGGAAATTTAATTCTTTTATAAATCTTAATTAAAAGTTGTAAAATATAAAATTTTATTTTTGTTTCACTATCCACTGTCAAATAAACAAGTTACTCCTTTGACAACTACTCTTTCCTACAAGTCTCCCTAAGTTAAGAAAATATCGTTCGAACGTTCTGCAGGGAGCAGGCATAAAATCAGAGGCCAGGAATGAATTCTTCTTGGAAAGGTTCTTACGTTATACTATTTGGCTACACTGGCTTGATAATAATATGGTTTTGAAATGTAATAAATTCACAAAACAGTTAACATTATCACTTTCCCTTTAATTATATTGATGCGTACAAACATGTGTATTCTAATATTTATAAATATATTATTTTTACCAGTTATTGAAAATAATTACTGAATGAGACTAATGTCTATGATAGTTTCTTACTTTCCATGAAATTCAGGATTTCATGAATTCCTGAATAAAGGCATAATCAATTAATGTAAAGAAACGTACATGATTCATTGAGTTGTACAGTTTTATGAATGCTGAGAGTTTATAAAATAAAATAAAATTCAGAGCAATCAGAGATAGATAAAGTCTGAACAGATGATCTAAGGGGATCTTGACTCTCCACCAAATGAGATTAGGGTAAGAAAGTTGAATAAGCAGAAGACCAGTTCATGTTAGCATTGAGCTATTGCAGAAAACAAGATTATATTAAAAACTCTAGACAAATAACGTGTTTTTAAACTTTAAATTATGGTGTTTAGTTATTTCTTATATTCTTGTATTTTTCACATTGTTTGATAACTATTGGTTTGCTCTGCAATTTAAATTTTTATATTATATATGTTGTTAGTTTGTCCATATGATAATTCAAGGAGATGATCATGAGTCAATCAGCAATTATTTAATGGATTTTCCTACTGACTCCTTCTTAAATGTTTATATTTATCACTTATTTGAAAGGAAAATGGTACAATCTCAAATTTAAAGATTATCCAATATTTGCACACACATATTTATGTATTTATTATGTTTATTTAAAAAAAAAAAATTTTTTTTTTGTTGTTTAACTTTCTGCCTAGTGTTGTCATATTCTAATTAAGAATTTTCAAACCACTAATACAACAATCACAATTATGTTTTTTTAAACACCTCTTGACTCTTTTGACATCCACCATTAGTCTTCTCGCAGCATTGGGGCTGTTATCTAGGTGATAAGCTGTAATCGTTTCGTTCTCTTCTTATGTAGATGATATCCAGGGAGCATGTGGTTGATAATAACCGGACACGATCACAATCACTCCCTCTTCAACAGGATGGTTACCAACTTTTTCTATCCTGTTGTTTTTTATGGGATAGGGTTTTAGCTCTGTGCCCTACCCCCAAAATCTGGAGGACCAAAGCAGCTATGTTATTGGACATAGGGGTCGCTCTCACCTTCCTGTTATATCAAGGTAGGGACGTTATCGTCCCTTATACGGGAATTGAACCTGTGCCGTAGTGGTCCAAGCAATCAGGTAGAGACTGCACACTTATTTATTTGTTATAAATTATTCTTATTTTTATCTTTTCTTTTTCATTATTTAATCCCGCGAATGGGATTTAAACTCATAACATAAAATTTTTGCAAGCGCCTTAACTCTCTCCACCACCTCGGCCCCTTTTTTTTAATGATATATGTTACCTTATTACATAAGCATCATAATAAAGACCTAACATTAATTTAAGTATAAAAAAAAATCTATACCAGTACAACCCATGAAGGGTCTTGGGTTCAGTACTAATTAGGAAAAGCACTGTTTCTAGGTCAACAGTTGTGCAAGGAGGTGATTTGACCGAGATCATACTCAACCGTCAGGTTTTCTCACTTAATCAATCATTTAATTAAGGGTACCCACTTTATAGAGGCTTGGTGTACCCTAGGAGGGTCTCCCGACCCAGGGTCACCCCACGGCCAATGAAACAGATAAATAAATTTTCTGCCATGAGCCGGGGTTCGAACCTGAGACCTTCAGCATTGGAAGCTCAGTACCCTATCACTGAGCTACCCCACTCCCCAATTTAAGTATATAATAATAAAAATTATAAAACATTGGTGCAATGCTTAATCTGGTAATAAACATGGAGATAGAACAGTTTAAATTGTATTAAAGTTATTCCTTATTATGAACTAATTTTCAAAATAAATATTATGAAAATAGTTCTCAGTTTGAGAACTCCCACTCTCTAATAAATTATATTAAAAAAAAGAAAAAGATTCTGTTAAAAATCTGTTACTGTTCATTTCAATTTTGGTTTTAAGTAATAATAAGCTATCAAGAATTGTTTTAAAGCCAATCTAGTTCTTTTAATAAAAGGATTATTTAGAATATATTATCTCTAACCAAGCCCAGCAAACAATCAATAATCAAGAAATTAAATAAAAACTGAATTCAATTTTTTAAGTGAATGGCAATTTGAAGCCAAATGTACTAAAACATTAAAAACAAAAATTAAGCTGAAGCGTCATAACTTCCATAAAACTTCTGTGCATTTGTATGGTTAAATTAATGTTTTTGGGTCTTCCTCTGGGCCTTCTTGCTTCTACTCTCATTCTGTAAGTTATTTTGGGATTTCTTTCTTCCTGAATTCTTTTAACATGGCCATACTGAAACATGGAAATACATATCATATAACATAAAAATATACAGCCTATTTTCTTCTTTTATATGTTAAGCCAGTTTTTTCTCTCAAGGTTATATACTACTTATTTAACTGTTTTTGGTTACCTCTTTTATTCTAAAAATCCAACTTTAAGAGAATAGAAGCATTTACCCATCCAGAATGGCCTCATTTTCTTCTTTGCTCTTTTATAGGACCATATTAAGATACATAATGAAAAATAGTAGGATAAGACTATAGTACAGACCTACCTTATTTCTTGGGTACTTCTTGTATTTATATATATATATATATATATATATATATATATATATATATATATATATATATATATATATATATATATATATATACATATACATTTATATAGTATAGATTTATATACAACAATCATCGTCCTTCTTACGCTTACAACCTTCTCCAATTCAAATCCTCAGTCCACTCCCTTTCCACAAGATCTCGACCTTCTGACCTTTACATTCCTTCTCACAGATCTGCCTCATTCCAAAACTCCTTCATAGCTCGCTCTGTTAAATTTTGGAATTTCCTTCCTATCAAAATTCGGCATTCTTCATCCCTGTCTACATTCAAAACCCTCCTATTCCAATTCCTGTCCCAAAAACAGTCAGATACCCGCTAACCTTTTATGTAAAATTACATGTTATTCATAATACTGTATTTACATATAGCTCATAACTGAAATACTTCTTAGCAGATTCGACTTTTTTTTTAAAAGTATATATTTATATTTTACAATTGTACGTAGTTTTAAGTGTCTTGGCAAGGTTTCAAGAGTTTTGTATATAGATTTTTTTAATTTTGTACATAGTATGTAAAACTAATATTTTCTTTACTGATTTAGCTTTACCTTTACTTTTTATGTTTGTTTTTATTTGGCCAGATACAACATTTTAATTTTGTAATTTTTTGTTATTCTGAAGGGACTTCGTCCCAGAATAAAATTATTTTATATTCTATTCTATATATAAAGATTTATCACAAAATCCTCTTTGACATTATGTGTATATATATATATATATATATATATATATATATATATATATACATACATACATACATACATAATGTCAAAGAGGATTTTGTGATAAATCTTGGGACTCACATATATATTAATGATGAATACAGTTTATTTCTATTTATTCTACACATTTTTGGTAGATATTGTGCATCTTAAGGATTTTCTGCATTATTCTTATTTTCACATTTGTCCTATTTTTTGTTTTGATGTGTTATGACTTTGATTAATTTTGGTCTTAAAACTTGAAATAGTTATTTCAAATTATGATTACTGTTTTATCAGTTTCCTCATTCATTGTTTGAGGTTGAGTTAATTTTTCATGGTGGTTGATTTTTTAAACTAACCATTGTATCATGAAAGTATTATTTCTTGGATATATATTTGAAAATTTATTCATTATAAATAATAATTAATTTAATTATATTTCTTAATAAAGGTTTAAAGTTAACAGTATATCATTAATTTTACTTTCATGTTGAAAAATTATCATGCAGGTCCACCCTGTCAAGGATTATCGTTTCTAAGTATGTGTAAAACTTTAGTCAAATTTGACCCTCAAAATAACTATCCATTATGTGATAATCATGCGATTTTAACGCAATATCTAATATTGGATTCAATCTTTTTTTTTTAAGATATATTAAGTTAAAAATATGTTTCAACTCAATATTAAGATATTAATCAAGCTTCGAGCACTATCAAAAATATACTGATGTAAATGTGACTTAGTTAATGGGTTTTTGTCAGGAATTATCAATAAAAATAATGTACTAACAAGAACTTAATATTATTTAATAATCCAGCATTGACATGAATAATAATTCAAATCTTATTAATTATTCAATGAAGTTTTATTGGAATAACACTCACAACTATAGGCGATTTATCGTTGTTGTTATAATATTAATCTTGCAAGTACAGTTTATTATTTAACATAGATTGCTTTTAAGTTTATTATAAAATCAGTGGGTTTACTAAACCTGGAATTGTTTTCTTCATATAATTCCTGGATTGTATCACTCATAATTTTGTGAGGTTCACCTTTATTTTCTTGAATTGAACAAATTAAGAATGCATGTGTTTCTTACATATTATTCAATTAAATTTACCTGAACTTGTAAGATCCAGAAATTCTACTAATGCTTTATAAAACAATATTATTTGTTTTCTTGCTTGAAGCATTAGGTCATTGTAAAAACTGAAGATCTTCAAGGTCAAACTGTCTTTAATTTGCCTTCAATTTCCTTATAATTACTACTATTCATGGTCTGATGAATATATTAGTTTTTTCTCACACTCACAATTTTAATACATAGATATTTAATAGATGTGGAATTTTACCTATTCTAGTGTTAAATCATTTTTAAAATTACAAAAAAGATTTCCTTTGATTAGCTAAGAAATGTAATTTCTAAATATTCATATAGTCTTAAATTTATTGATTTGTTGTTAATATTTGGTGAAATGTATTTAATTATTTATTATTTTTGTTTTAGGAATAAACTTCAAGATCTATTCTCTCAAATTGAAAAAGAATTTGAAGTCCTTTATAATGAAAACTTGACATGTAAGTAATGATTAAAAAATATTAATATAGATGTGTGTGTCTATATATATGTATTATGTGTATATTAAATTTTACTGATTTGATAATCCATTTAATAATTTGATAAAAATTAATAATTTTTTTTTAATTTAATATGCATATTAGGTGGTACCATGGAAATGTTTTCAGAAGTAAATTATTATTTTAAATATCATCTAGCGATTCAAAATATGCTTTATATTTTACATTACAATGGAATTAATTTTATATTCATCTGTATTATAAATGTAATATCATATAACACAGTATAAATAATATATATATTCGCTAATTGAATTTTTTTTAAATAAAACTAGAATTGTTTTTCTAGGATGATAAATATTCATAATTTATTCTTGTTTATAACCTTTTAACCCAAATATGTGGATAGTCATCAGGGCTAAAAATTAAAAATCACAGCAGAAATATAAGATACTGACTGAAGTACTTAAATATGTCAAAAGAAAAAGATAAATAGTACAACTGAATTCAATAAATAAATATTACAAATGAATTCAATAAATTCATAGTACATAAAATAAACAAGAAGTGTTTATTAAACAGCTCGGGCTTAGAATAAATAAGATGAATTTTTGAGTTTTCAAATCTAATCGGAATACGATAGAGTATATTTTAATATGTGATTTAGTAACTAAAAAAAATATGATTGAATATGCGTGTGGAGAAACAGAAGGAATCATATTCGTGAATGAACAACTCTTCGTGACTAACAAGGGAAGCTTACAGACTTGGGGTCACCGATTCTTTTGGTAATACAAGATCGAAAAATATTAGACCTATGTCCGAGATTTCTTGCCAATGCGTCTTAGGAGCTGAGAAAAAAAAATGTTTTATATAATTTCATTGTTTTTTTTATGTTACTGTTTTCTAATTTTGCTCTGCATGGATTTATAAGTTATTATATACCAATCACTTTGTTTTTTTGTCTACAATAAGAAAAACATATTGCTAATTGTATTAAACGAATTATAAGGTATAATAAGTTATAAAAACCCCATAGATGCTTCCAGTAAAGTAGGCTGAGTAAATTATTGTCATGAAAAAAACCATACATATTCATTTTTAGGGTCTACTGAAACTATTAAATACGAGTTTGTTTTGAAATCAAAAAATATAAATTTTTGAACGTAATTTTTTTCATGTCTTTTACTGAAATATTCTTAACTGCTCAGGTTTTCGCCTAAGTCAACCTTACTAAAACCATTCGAAAACTAAATTATTATTCTTCAAAATTATATCGACAACTTTTAGATTTCACCACCCCTAACTTTTATATTTCACGCCTTTATAAGGAATAAATAAATAAAAACTCTCCAAAGTTTTTTATTTTTTATCTCCAAGCCTAATTTATTTGCAGGATTCTGGTTCGTGCCCTATTGTGTATATTTCAGGCTCCAAATTCATACTAATTTTCGTGTGGATAAGTGGATCCATGTCGAAGTCATCACGACTTGGAGAAAATTTTGTGCAAAATGTTTTGTTTTTTGATTGGTATAAAAATTTGTATTTAAGGGTTTTTTCGAGGCATGAAATTCAATATCTTCGTTTCTGCTTAAACAAATATTTGAACCCACTTTATTCTTTAGATCAATCCTGTTTGTTTCAATATTGAACACATATTATATGCCAAATATATATTTTATTCTAAACCGGACTGGTATCAAAGTACAATTTTATTTTTTGCAAATATTATTGTTTAATGTTTCTCCAACATAATTTTGATAGCTGTGTTTGCATGTCATGGAGTGATGCGATTTTTTTTTTTCTGTCCTGATTCCTGAAACTTTCACGGCTTGGTCAATTTAATTTTGCCTGCATTCTAAAACCAGAAGGCTGTGTGGTTGGATTTCTGCAATTGTAATTTTAATAATTTGATTTTTAATTATTTAGTAATCTACACTGTTAAAACCTTAATAATATGTAATGAATTTCATTTGATGGACTTATTTATTATTAAAATAATATATATTTTTGTTTTCTACATTTTAAGAATTGAATTTATTTATTTGTAAGAAGTTTTGTTATTATTTAAAATTCTTGATTATAATTACTATTTTTAAAGTCTTAACCATGAAGCTGATTTAGATTCAGTACAATTTATTTATTTAAGTAATAACCATATTTATTCATAATATGCTGTCACTGCCTATTTTATAATTATTTTTTTTTTTTAGTACAAGAAAAGGTTGAGTGTCTGAATGAAAAATTGGAAAAAGAATGTTACCTTTCTGATAAACATGCTGTTAGTGAAAAGCAAGGTGATTCTATTGATCACCCAGAAGTATCTTTAAAAGTTAGTTCAAAACAAAAAGGTAAAACTGGTGATTTACTAAAGTTATATTTTATTTCTTTTTTTTTTTTGATTATCAAGAGGTTGCATATGTTCCTGGTAGATTATCTATTTTGCTGCAAAAAAATAAAAATAAATCATGCTACCCCAAGTTTGATTCTGGAATAGTTCAGATTTCGTTTTTGTTTTTGTCATTAAATCAGGTTTAAATGCTCATGCATTTTGCATTTTGCAAACTGTTGACATTTTTGAAATTCAATTATATTGATTGAATGAACTTTCTGTTAATAATATTTCTGCTTTGTTAATTATAATTTTTTAAATATTAAAGTGATAGTACGTCTCAATCTACTCACAGACTTCAATTTTTATTTTCTTAGTCTTTCCTCTTCTACCATAGCGTAGTGTGAGGTGCCATTCAATAGAGCTTGATTAATAAATCCAGGTTCTGTACCAGCTCTTTCCTCTCTAAACCTCATTTGTTGAAGACCTCTTTCAGTTCTTTCTCTCAAGTCTTCCGTGGGGTACTTTTCCTTCAATGATAGCTTCATTGGTAGATCTCTGGTTATAGGATGTCAGAGGCACATGTTCGAACCTTTTTTTTTTTTTTTCAATTACAATATAAAAAAAGATTTTTTTGTTAGAATTAATATTTAATAGTACATCAATTTTAATTAGTTTACATTATCATTTCATATCTAAATTTTCAATGTTAAATATAAACTTTTCATTTGTTTTATATTTGTTTAGATTAGGTTGTATTCTCTAATTCAAACCCAGACAAAGTATTCACAATTTCTAACAGCTATTAACCGTATTTTCTGTAGCATGGCTATATTTATTGATAATGTCCGCGTCCTGTATACACAGAATCAATTATTTAAAAATTCTTAAGACAATATAATGATTGAATGTTTGGGTTTGGTGGCGTTTATAAATTTGACTGCTATAGAGAAGTGTTTACTGAGAGAAGTTTCACTATATTATTGTTGAGTATTCTGACAAACTTTTTATATCCTTCCTAGGAATTATCTTCAGCAATCACAATTTGCTATTTTTAAAAATTAACTGTTTTTTTCAGTTAATACTCTATTCATGTTTTATTTTTGATTTTGAAAAAATTAAATTATGTTGTGGTTTCTAGGACCTAGTTCATCACAGAAGTTAAAAACAGCTCATAAGCTTAAAGCACAGACTAGTAAGATTGTGTCAAGCTTCAAAACACCTAGTGTAAATTGTAACTTGATCAAGGAATACCTAGGTCACCGAGATGGTGTATGGGATGTATCCGTGGGCAAACCTGGACAGTTTGTTATTGGCACTGCTTCTGCAGGTATTTTCTAAGCTTACAACATTTTCTAGGTAATGTTATCTTTGATATTTATCATTGATAAACAAAATTTTATAACTTATATTTCCATGTTTTATATATATTTTTTATTTTTATTTTTGTATTAAAATAATTACTACTCAGATCCAAAATTACAGCTCAAATAAATAATCAGTTACTCAGATAAATTACATTGTGTTGTCAGCTTCATTAAATTATGATTATTTATAGTTGTAATTTTAATAGAAAAATGGGTGACATTAATAAAATATAAACAAATACTTTAATAATTTATTCTTTTTTCGGATTTTATTTGGAGGAGTAATTTGAATTAAAAGCTAGGGTCCAACTATTCATTTTAAGATTATCTATGAAAAAGAGAGATAAGTCTTAAAAATTGTTCATTACTTACCAAATAATTAGTGACATACCTAGTGATTACCAAGTTTTTGGCAAGAACCAATTAAAAAAACCCTTTTCATTGGGAGAAAAGAGTAGTCGCCAAACAACATATCTTGATTAATTATTAAAATTTAATTTTATGTGTTAAAGTTTTATTAATTTCATCCAAAAATTAATGTTTCAAAATGACACAATAAGGTAATAATTATTCTTTTATCATGTGATGATTTTATTCTAGTATTTAATTTAAAAAAGTAATAACTATTCACATTTACTGCATTTAGACTTTATTGTTCTTTGTCAAGAACACTAGTTTTCATATTATAAGCAGGCCAAAAGAACATTTATCACATGAAGAAACCAAATAAATTTAATTTAGTTGATTAACAAGTTTATCTGTTCTCACCCTTTTTTTTTAAGTGAAAACTTCTGTTGGCGCACTTAGCATTTTATTTTGTGAGAATTGAATGAGACTCAGCCATCACGCTCATTTTGGGTAATGTTGGCTCGAGTCGACTAATTTTTATATTTGAATTAAAATGTCTCAGTAACTAAAAAGTATACCTGTATACTATGAGTGTGGAAAATATTCAACGTTTCATCCTCTTTGTAAGGAGCTATAATTCAAAACTGTATTTTGATGTAATCCCGAGTTAGAAAGTCAGAAAAGGAAAAAGAAAGTGCCAAAATAACAAATAATAATGATTGTTTTGAACATTTGGACTAAAATTAAATAGAAAAATTTGAAGAAGAAAGAATAATTTTGAGTGGAGATTTCAGTAATGATTGCTCAAAAGATACATCAAAGTGCTTTGTTGATTTTACCAGAGTAATTTACACACAATTATAGTTGTATATGTTATTAGTTTGTGAAATAGTTTAAATAATTTAAAATATTTTTTGATAATTTTTTTAATTATTTAAACTTATTAATTTTACATATATTTCTACTCAAACTAAGTATATATATATATATGATTTAATTTTTTTCTTAAAATAGTATGGTTTTTAATAAAATTTTGTTGAAAGTGCTTTTTACTCTTTCAATTTTTAAATAATATAATTTAAATGTTATACTTCTCACCATTTTACTTCAACACTTCTACTTTACTTCTTAGATCACACTGCTTGTGTCTGGGGTATTGAAAGTGGAAAGTGTTTGTTACGTTACACAGGACATTCAGGATCAGTCAATTCAATCAGGTTTCATCCTACTAAGGATTTAGTTCTTACCGCTGCTGGTGACCAGTCTGCTCACATATGGCAATTTGCTTTAAATCTTCTTGAACCTCAAGTGAGTTTTCATATATTTATTTATTTTCAATGAAACCTCTAATGGACCATTGAGTCCTCTAATGGAACTTGAAAAAGTGGCTCAACCAATTTTCTTCAGTTTGATAGTTCAAATCGCTCTTTTAGATCACATGAACGTGTTGGTACAATTTAAGTTTTAAATATTGAAAAATACTTTATTATTATATTTAAAGTATTCTCATTTTTAGATGATTTTTTTATATTGTATCTTGTGTAAGCTCATGATGATAGAGGCATAATTCAAGTTTGCTTCTTGTCCAGCAAGTGAATATTTTGTATATTTATTACATTTCTATCATTTAAGTAAATAATATGTATGAGGCCACGATGACCGGGTGTGTTAAAGTGTTGTCTGCTTTAACATTGTTGAGTATAGCATTACTGATTGTTCTAGTGATAGAACAAAGTAGAGTAGTTAAGTACAGCAAGCAATGTTTCCAATCGAAACACTTGTAAACACAAAGACTTGAAAAATAATTGAAGAAAAATCTAAAGATGTCAGTAGCTGGGTGATGGTATCATTTTGGCAAGTTCCTTAGATCTGAAAACAACAAGGTGTTGAAGGATCATGATGTATTTGCCAGTCCTCGCTCAATACTGACTGCTTTAAATGGTCTGGAGCCTTCTGAAAAGGATTAAGATAGGTGGAGAAGCTAAAGGATCACAAAGCACCTGACAAAGACCCTTTGTTGGCTAAATTCCTCAAGCATACTAGAGGTACAATATTAAATGAAGTAGATGCATTAATTTTTTGAGAAAAAGGGATGGCAAAATAATGGAACACTAGCTTTATATACCTCATATCTAAAAAAAGGCGGTAGATTCCAGTTTATGAACTATGGCAGTAGGCTCCAATTTAGTGACTAAATATATCTCTTCTAAGTTGTGTAAACAAAAATTACATACTACTAAAACAGACTTAATAGATTTGCTAAAAAAATATTAAATGATTACCTGGGTGGCTTTCGACACAGTAAAGAGATTTTTACCAAATTTTTGTAATGAGACAACTCTTGGACCCAAGATTGGAGCTCTCCAATAGTTCTGAATCCCTCATAAACTCATAAAACTGATTGAGATGATCTTAAATTGTATTGAAAGAAGAATCCTTATGGGTGGCTGCCTGGACATTGAGTTTTTATCTTGACAGGAGTGAGATTGGTGATCGTCTGTGTTCTTCTATTAGTTTTACCTTGCATAAAATAGTCATGAATTTAAATATCACCAGGAACATCCTCCACTCCTGTAATCAGGTATCTGATGAATATCTGAATATAGATGGTTGTCTACCTAGTGGGTAATATTATGAATACTCTTAAAAATGTCTTTCACTATTCTAAATAATGAAAGCCTGAAAATCATTCTTCAGATTAATCAGCATAAGACCACGTCTAGATAATGCTCCTATGATTTTAGATGAATGGAATTGTAACAGTGTGAGCAGTTTTATTTGGTTCAAACTAAATGATGAAAACAAGATATCAAATAAAATTGGCCTACTATGCTAATAGAGATTTGATAGATGGTTTAAAACTTGGACCATCACTGCTGCAATTATGAGGAACATAAATATACTTAAACAAAAGACCTTAGATTTATCCATGGTGCAGTCAGGATATAACCATGATATGGTGTATTAAAGCGTGTCGTATTGAATGGTTGGGCCTCGTATAATATATATGCCAGACAACTGGATACTGACCAGCATGGTGTGGTTATTGGTATAAGAAGAGTTAGACGACCATGTAGGTGATGGATCTAGGACATTGTGGAAAACCTGTTAACCCTGAGAGTAGCAAGATGGAGGGAGAAAGTGAGAGACAAGGAGAAATGGAGGAAAATTGTCAGATAACCATGGCTCATCTTTGGCTGTTAAGCTAAGGATTTGACTTTTACTGCTTGCTTGTTTGCACAAATTTCAAGTTCATACAAAAATCAATTGATTTTAATAAATCTGAGAAGTTGAATGTATTTCATCCTGTAAAAATATAAAGTTTTCCATACTTTGCTTTTATTTTTTTCATTCTAGTTCCATAAGTTCTTAAAATCAAATTAATTCAACTGTTGAAAAGATTTTTAAATTCATTATTGTTTCCCTAGTTGGCTTAGGCTTAACTTTATCTTTTTATTTCTCTCTCGCTCTCTCTCTCTCTCTCTCTCTCTCTATATATATATATATATATATATATATATATATATATATATATATATACTTTTTTTTCTTTGTTTATTTATATTTTTTTTCCCTTCTTATGTACATATTGCGTGAATGAATACTATAGTCCTAGTACCAATGCCCTTCAGTGTGGCAGTCTGTATTAATATTCAATAAAATCATTTAAAAAAAAAAGTTAGCTTATGTATTCTTATTAATAACAGAAAAGTATGGAGAAATACTGTGTTTGTTTAATTTTTTTAATAAATTTAATTGCACCAGCAACATTTATATAGTAAACATTCTTCTCTACTAAAAGTTATTACTTTTTCTGAATAGAAAACGGTATCATCAGATGATGAAGCTGCTTGTGAAGTTGAAGAAGATCCTGAAAGATCACCAATTCTTCGAACACCGATCGCTGAATTGACAGGGCATGGTGGTGTATTGGCTGCAGCTGATTGGCTACCAGGTGGTGATCAAGTTGTAACGGCCAGTTGGGATCGAACAGCTGCCTTGTATGATGTTGAGACGGGGGATCTCCTTCAGTCTTTGACAGGTATTGGTCATGTTAAGTTATAGTGCTAAAAATGGCTGTAAAATTGTGTTAAAAAAAAAAAAAAAAAAAAAGAATAAGAAAAAGTAGAGCAGTTAATGTTCTAAAGAGTTCCAAATAAATAATATATTTTCAACATTTACCATTGTTTGATATTGATCAAAAAGTAACTCTTTCTTTCCTTATTATCATTAGAGCTTGATTTATAAACCTATATCTATTTATTTTATCCACACATTGTCGAATAACAGGGAAAATACTATAATGTCAATGAAAGAAATGTCAATAAATATTTACTTGATAGCTTAAAACATGATTCAGTCAGAACCCTCTATCAAAATAGATTATCCTATGAGCTGGAGAAGTTGAAAACAAACTCCTTTAAGATGGAAAATCAAAATACACAGATTAAAATTGGGATTAATAAAGCTGTTATAGAGGCATTAGGAATACAGGAAAAACTTGTGCCAATAGATAAAGAATGGTGGAATGAAGAAGTGGCAGGATCAGCCAAAGAAAAGAAGGTATTATATAAAAAGTTACTTTTCAACCATGACCAAATTGTGTTATAAGAATATAAAAGAAGCAATAGAGAGGTAAAACGGAATAGGAAGAAAGCTATAAATGAGTTATGTAATAAGAACTGTGAATATATTGATCATTGTATGCATGGACAAAAGTCTGTGGAAGCGTGGAAAATCTTCAAATCAATTAAGAATCCAAACCAGACAAATGTTAAAATTGGTCTCGTACAAGTAAATAAGGAAAGAGTACTTCTCATAGTTATAGAAAGAGGATCAAAAGGAATTCATATTGGAAGAAATGCAAGATTATACAAATGATGCTGCCACGCTCCAAGTAGAGGTCTCAGTTGACAAATTAGATTGTGCATTAATAAACATGAAAAATAGAAAATCATCAGGACCAGGAAACATACCCATAGTGTTAATCAAATATGGACCTTGTGAACTTAAGGAGAAATTGGCAGAGCTCACGTCACTATCAGGAGTGCCTCAGAAGTTTGGACGATTTTAACCGAATCAGCAAGAAAATTTTATTAACGGAGATGGATTTTTAGAGATTTAGTTTAGAATATCAATACTACAACAGGTTCAAAATAATACCATTAGGGTAAAAGTAAAAGAATCCCTCAACATCTTGTACTCCATTGATATCAACAAGCCTAGTTGGTTTCGGCATGCCATGAAAATGACGGACGACTGATGGATTTAAAAGATAATTAAACGTATAGCATATATTATACCATTGGAAAGGAGGAAGAGAGGTCGATCAGAAAAGAAATGGATGGAAGATTTACATGAGACAATAGCAGCAAGAGGACTCTGGGTGGAAGACTGTTATGATTTAAAAAAATTGTGACAGGGATTATTAGGTTATGGCATATGACCTTAGTGTTGTAAATAAAGTTGTTTATATATATACAAACATATATGTTATATAATTATGTATATATGTTATATGTAACAATATTTATTACTTTAAACAAGTATTTGATCTCTAATAGAGGAGAAAATAAAGCATTTTAGTATTTTTAGAAGTTGTTGAATAACAAAATTGGCTGATTTCATAACAGAAGTTATGAATTTTTTTTTTATTTCTATGAAAGATCTGATCTGTCACCAATTTATGGTTTTCATTCTACTTTTTTTTTTTTATTAAATTTAATTATTTATGTTTTTTGCTTCTAATAAATACAATTTTACTCCCAGGCCATGATCAAGAATTGACTCATACTTGTGCTCATCATTCACAAAAACTTGTTGTAACTTCATCTCAAGATACAACTTTCCGCCTATGGGATTTTAGGGAGCCTATACATTCAGTTTCTGTCTTCCAAGGGCATACTGAGTTAGTATTTTAAAGTATAATTGTGTAATTATTCTTGTACAGAAATAATTTTTAACTATTGTTTTTTTTTTATTTCATATATAATTCCTTTTTTATAGTACTGTTACATCTGCTTTATTCACAAAAAAAGAAGATAAAGTTGTTTCTGGTTCTGATGACAGAACTGTTAAGGTAAACCTACATTGTTTTGCATACTTTCATATTTTAGTTAGTAACATTATTTTCCTAATGTTTACTCCTATTAGTTTCAAAATGCTGTTAAGTTATAATTTTTTATATTTCCTTATAAATTCTCTACCACTCGTAATTACTTTCATCCAATACTCCTTGTTTTTTCATTTATTTACACTTATTCGAAATCATTAGTTCAATTTAAAGGAAACTCCATTCAGCTATACAGAAATATTATTTCATATATTATATTTCAAGTGCTTTAGATTTTAAAAATTATTTCCTGGCATTTTCTTTTATATCAAACAAGCTTTTGATTATTTGATTGCATAAAGTTTTCTTTTCTTTTTTTTTCCCACAGCCAAAGTTAAAAAATTTTGTTTCCTATTGAATATTTCTTTCTTACTTGATAAGCTGCCACTTTATTGATTTAGTAGATAATGAATTATCTGGTATGAAGTGTGTTGAAGCCATAAAGCAGCGTCTCATGATAATTATTGTTAACTATTTTAGAAATCACCATTCTATCCATCAAATGATAGAAGCCATAGTGGCCGAATACGTTAAGTTGTTACTGTAGTATTTTTGGAAGCCACAAAAGTTCAAATCTTTCCTAAGCAGGTTGACCTTTATTTGGACTCATAGAGTTGACCTTTTTAGCCAGGATGGGTTTGTTATCTGTAGGTTAACCTGCCCTCCTTGGCATAATTAAAATACATATGGATGTTAAACTTCTAATAATAACCTCAAATTATGTACCACACAAGATCCTAACAGTTACAAACATTACCACCAATGCTACACTAATGTCCTAATGTCCACAACCTTGATGACCGCTTAAGTGATATTAGTTTCCACAGATAAAAAAAAAATCTACTTGATTGCAGCATAGATTTTAGATCATAAATTTAGATTGAAATATTAAGATTTTATTTTAATTATAATACATTATATGTTTATTACAATCAAGACATAATTGTAACATTGTTTAGAGCTAAAAAAATCATTTCATTTGTTCTGTTCAATTTTCCTAATTTTGGTGTCTTGAAGTTTTTTATTTTTTACAATAAATTAGGCCAATTACCACCAACATTTTATTGATACGTCCCTCCAGAAATGACATAGGCGAAACCCCTATAGAACATGACAAATTAATGTTCATTGAACATATTAACATATGCCGAGTCAAAGTGGCTCTTCCCCTATTCCCGCCGCCTATACTTCCTTGGAATTTTCTTATACCAAACGATCAACTCCCAGCACCCTTCCTATATCTGTTGTCTCCTCCAGCCTAAACCCTTAGTCCACTCAATAAAAACGAGATCCCGTGTTTCTGACCTCTATATTCCATTCCACAGGACAAAAACCTATGAACGTTCCTTCTTAGCCCGCTCCGTCTCCTATTGGAATTCTTTGCCACATAACATCCGTCATGCCTCTTCCTTGTCAACTTTCAAGTACCTCATTTTGCAATATCTCCTTACATTCCAAACAGAAGATTTACCACCATAAATTTCATTTTATGAACTGAATTTGCATGAAGTAAATAGTGGTGCCTACTGTTTAAGTTTTAACATAAAACAGCAATGATCTTTGTCACCTAGTTTGACTATTATTTTTACTATTTATTTATTTTTCTCTTCTCCTCATGTTGTGCTTTTTTTTTTTCGGGTATATATGTTCATATTTTATATCTTTGTCTTTATGTGTGCCAATATGAGGATGTACGTATAAATAGTTCCTTTTAGTTATTTTTTTTTTTTCCATTACACCACAAGTATCGTAAGACTTTATTTTATCTTAGTGTCTGCATATTATTATGTAAACCACTGTAGATATTATTTCATTTTTTATTAAGTTAGTTTTCTATTAGATAGCCTATTATTTATAAATTATGTAGTTATGTATATATAAATATGTAATTTCTCTTCTTCTTTTTTTCATCACAATTAAGTAATTTTGAGAAGATTTTATGTTCATTTGTATATATATTTTATTTTTTACTGGTTACATACTTTTTAAATAATATATATAATATTAAAATTTTTAGAAGTTAGTTTTTGGCCAGATTTGTACTTTACTTTGTATTAACTCATCATTGTTATTCTAAAGGGACTTAGTCCCAGAATAAAATTTAATTTTCTATTCTATTCTATTAATTACAACATTAATGATGAACAAATAACGGAAGACTCATCAAGATTTGAAAATGACCCTTAGTATGGTCGAAACGTCAAAATTAATGCATATCAATAAAATGTTGGTGATAATTGGCCTAATTTATTGTAAAAAATCATTTCATTTGCTTTTTATTGCTCTGTTATATGTTTTCACCATTTATTTAAAAAAAAATGTTTAATATATATCTGTGGAATTTAGGTATATCAACTCTGTCAACAAATAGGTCTAATCGGGTTTTCAGTAGGTATATTGATGTCCTCTCTCTCAATACGTTGATATAAAACTGATAGTGGCTCTCATTTAATACAAATCTGAAGATCATTTATTTATTTACTATTTAGAAATCTAATCACAACAAAAAAAAACCAAGTTTAATGTTATTAATTTCTAATATTGTAATTATTATTTTAAAGAATATTTATTATATTGCAGGTTTGGGATTTAAGAAATATGAGGTCTCCTCTTGCAACCATTAGGTCTGATTCTGCTGTGAATAAAGTCGACATATCATTGACAGGTGTTATTGCAGTACCTCATGATAACAGACAGATTCGCCTCTATGATATGACTGGCCAAAGGATTGCTCGACTGAGTCGAAGCAGTAGACAGGTAAAAGTTTTATACTGGTTGTCGTGTAAGTAATGCGGAATATTTAAAAAGGTTATAGCAGACCTCAAGAGCTACAAAAACTTTTTTATAGACCATTGTTCGATTTTTTGCTGAAAAGCAGGAAATTTAAGTTTTGAGAATTTTTAATTGACACATTGTTTGTTGAAGATTATTATGCAAAATCTGGGCACCAGTGATTTAAGTAGTCATCTTTACAAGTTACACATCACTTATGTTACTTAATCGTACATATTTATTCATTTTTTTTACATATGTTACATATCATATGAATGTTAGCAACTATAGTTCCGTGTTTATCAAGATGGGAATTTTACAGCTCATTAAGGATATACCGAACTAGAAGAAAGCCATCCTCTTTTGGCTAGAAAAAAGAGTCATACAAAAGACAAGACAATGCCCGTAGGGACATAATATGTATCAACCTGTGGGATCAAGTGAACAGACGGCGATGCAGTATGAGATTCTGCTGTCAGAAATTTGGTGTTCGGAAAGTACCTGGCTATGAAATAGTAATTTATCATTTCAATACATTACATATCTCATTCATTGCTGGTTACTGGAATATACTACCATAAAATTTTGTGAGGAGAATTTGGATTTGGAGATCATACTGGAAGAATTAAATATGCGAGGTTTGTGCTAATTCTCTTCTTAAAAATCCATGCTTGATTGGTGGTGATGGACTTGAAATAGAAATGATGAGAGCCTCTTTTCTAGGTAGGTTGAGTAGGAATTTTAGGGCGATAAATTGCAGAATTATTACACCCTTAGAATTCCTGACTAATGATATTGCCTCTTTTCTAGACCGAAATATAATGTCGGGGAAACATATTCCCAACAGTGGGTCTTCGGTGGTATATGTCAGTAAACTAAGGTATGCCTTCTTTATGTAGTCTCCCGTAGAACTGAAGCAACATTAATTAGCATGATTAATGAGTGTATTAGGCCTAGAATCCTAATTATTTCTGATTGTTGGAGAAGCTACATTAGTATACCTAACCTTTCTGGTTACAGATATAAACACCAGACTGGAGAACTTCCGTGATATAGTATCAGGAGCTCACACCAATCCTATTTAAGGTATATGGGCTCTTGTTAAAAGGTGTAACAAAATAGAATGTGGAACCAGTAGGAATCGTCTTGACTCTTATTTATGTGAATTTATATGGCGGCAGAAATATAATAACGAAGATCTTTTTGAGAAAATTTGGAAAGACATAATAGATTTCATGCCTCCAATGTAAATATTGTAAATATATGGTGTTTTCCAATGTTTTTAAAATTGAGCAGGTTTAATCACTGGTGCCTGTATTCTGCATTAGATAAAAAAAAAATATATTAAATTTAATTTATTAGCTATTGTTTTATAGTGAAATTGACAAAATTTGATTCAACTATGAGTTTGTCTTTCTTCAGATCATTTAAAGGGGACTTTCAAGCAGCTAAGCTATGTTTTTTAACAAAGACATGGATTAATCACAATTTTTTGTTATTAACCTCCATCTAAATTACAAATATCCCACTTTTAGAAAAATTTCTTTGTTTAAGCTTCAAGTCCATATTAATTAAGTTGAGATTTGTAACCTATAGGTTGAAATTTACCTCTAGTTGTAAACAAATTATGTAATTAGATACATTCTGGCAATAGAAGGAAATCGGAAATTAACATCCCCTACAGTTATTAGTTTGGATTACTGAAGTTGCAGTGTATTATTTTATCTTGTACTTCCTTGCTGAAGATAAATAATTCATGTTATTTCAGGGTCATCAAAGGATGGTTTGCAGTGTTGCTTGGCTAAATGAACCTTCTGCTTCCTGCAATTTGTTTTCTTGTGGCTTCGACAGACTTACTCTGGGATGGAATGTTCAGAATACAAAGGATATGTAATTATTTCCTTCTGCCTGGATTTTTGACCATTTGTTTCAGTTGGATCGCTGTTTCCATAAATTAAAGAAACATTTTTCGGACAAATTACAGTCTTCATGTGACAAGATGAATTCAGTTTGGAATGAATTTTTTGCCTGCATATTCACCTTTCTTTATTTTTTTTTATTTTTTTTTTTATTCCCTTGTAGACATCAGTTAGTTTAGAATTATTATTTGATAATTAAACTATATTATTCCAATTAAATTTTAGATTTTAAAAAAAGTTTGTATTCTTTTTACATAGATTTTTTTATAACATCAGTAAAATTATCATCTTCATTTTTAATTACCATTCACTTTTAATTTTTATTATTAACTGATAAATTAAATCAATTATATGTGTATTCCTGCCTCCTATTGGTATACATTCTATTAGTAAGTTCCTCTCATTTGCTGGTAGTGGGGAGAGATACACACTTGCCAGATATATTGTCTTGATCTTCAATCATTGTCATAAAAGAGTGTGTGTTCTGCCATTCACTGAGATAAGTACAACAGATTTAGCAACAGTCCTGATCACCTTAGGTCTATGATAGAGGATCATACTACTTAAAGGTTTAATTTTTTTACTATCAAATGTATAATCATACATACTTCAACTGAAAAATACAACTTTTTTTTAATGTATTTTATGAATTGTCAATGTTTGAGCTTATTACTTTTCTGGTGATTCAGTTTTATTTAATTACAATATATATATCTTAATTAAAATTATATATAATTCTTAAATGATTGGCCTGACATCACATTTTGAAAGATATTGAAGTGATATCTAAGAAGTTGTAGTGAAATATATAGTATATTCTCACTACTGATCAGTTTAATGTTAGAAATTTAAATTTAAATTAAAAAGCATATTCCAATGTTTTAATAAATGAAGCATATGTTTCAGTCATCAATACCATTTTTAAGTTTCATTTGTAATTACTGTTAATATTCTTCAATTTTTCTTCCTCTTCCCTGCTCACCAGCTTAAAATTATTGGTGTTGCCTGTTTGGTATAATAGTAGATAACAGATTATGAATAGCTCTATGATTCATTTTGTATCAATGTTCATAAAAGTAATTTCCTTACACTCGGAGTGATAATTTTTTATTACATATAGTTTTTGTTTTGAATGTTGAAAGTTCTACAAAGCAAACTTCTATGAATTTTATTTTATTAACAAATTTGATTAATCTTTTTATTTTTTTATAATGATTTTTAGAAATCTTTTAACCATAAATTTCACTCAAATTTATGGTATGAATTTGCTCCTGTTATAACCCTGTATTAAAATAAGTAGCCTAAGGTACATTGATTTTCTTTGTTATTAACCAAAATGGAATGAAATCTTTCTTTGTTTTTGCGTATGTATTACGTACCAATTTCAAGACTTATCTATCTGTTTTGATTATTCAGTGAAAATATGAGAATGGAAAGAATGGTGCTACTGGACAATTTAATTATAATATACATAATCAGAAAATTTCTTTTTGAAATAATTTATATAGTAGATAAATATTGGCTGCATGAAGTATTGTTGAAGAGATGGTTGGGGTTTGTAGTCATTGGAAGCACAAAGTAAAAATAAAATAATAATTTATTTATTTTTACTTCTTACTTCCAATGTCTGTGAACCCCTACTATCTTCCCTTCAATAATAATAATTTATGATTTTTTTAATAATATTATTCTCTTTTGGGGTCATATATTATTTCCGTGGTTAATTAATATTGCTTTTATTTTCAATTCTAAAAAAAATTATTGTATTACAATTATTTAGATAAATTTATGTCTCACTTTTACAATAATTTTTGTTTTCTTTTTGTTCTTCCCTACCTCCCCTTTTAGGCTATACAGGATTTCCCTGGGCCGGAAGGTGAGGGCGGGGAATTTAAAATCCCCTCCAGTATCGGGATGCGAACTCTTTACGGCACACGCTTTAGCCCATTTGGCCACCCCGCCCCCGACAATAATTTTACCTATCAAATAATTTTTTTTAATTATATATTCATTACTTCTTTTGTTGGGAATTTTTGTTTATTAATTAAGATGTTGGAAATAAAAATTCCTTTTAATGCAACTAATATTGAATTTGTCAAATTTTCTTTATGTTTTTTCGGAAATTTTTCCGTGTCATCAAAACTCTTCCTTACATTCACTTATAGTAAATAGCCATGCTATGTGTGCTCCTTTGTCTTAGTTCATACATTTTTTTCAAAAGTGCTACCCATGACAACCACATTACTAGACTAACTCTTTTTTAGGTTACATGTAACCTATAAATTAGAATTATAATTATAAAATTATTGTACAGGAAAAATAAGACATAAAATTACCGAAATAACTTTATTACTAAAATTCTTTTTCTTAGATAATCAAAATTTTGTTTTAACTAAAAATAGTTATTTCCTTTTATGTTTCTGTTAATTAGTAAACCCAAAGAGATAAACAGCGGATGTGATGTTTGTTGTTTTTTTTACAATAATAGAAAAAAAAGTACTTCTTTGTGTTTTAAAATCTGGTAAATTTTAGGTTTATTATTTAACTTGATGACAATTAATTATCAATTGCATTTATTAATGCTTTAAACAAACCAAAAATAATAACTTTTTCATGTGTACTATTAATATTTATGATGGTAATAATTAGTGCAATAATATTGTTTTTTACAATAAATAAAAAAATTGAAAATAGTTGTCCTTTTTAGGGCACTTGTAGCGTGATCCCCAATGTTCAGCCATTTGGCCTATTGTTGTTATAGCATTTAAGATATTAGTTATTTAAAGAATTTAAGATGTAAAGTATGTACTTATGTTGTTCCGTAACGGACCTGTACATATCTCTCGTTCTTTGTCAATACAAAGCCTTATCTCATCTGTACAGATAATATTGGCTTCACGTATGTCACCTATAAGTCCCATTCAGCATTGTTTAATTCAGATGCATTAAGTATGTTTGAAGTTTCTCTGATGTTAATTCCGGATATTTTCAAAATCGTTGAAGCCTCGTTGTAATAGTTTGTTTTCAATCATATTTGAAGGTTGTTTTTTTTAGTTTTACCTTAAATATATTACACTGTGTCTATCTTTTATTGGCTATGGTCTCTTATTTTATAGTCATATTCTTCTTTTTTGGTTTACTTTTAATTAACACTCTTCTAACTTAATACATTGTATAATTTGATGTTATAAAAACTTATAAGTAATGGAAACCTTTTACAAGCAAATCATTTACATATTTACTAGTATAAGAAGAGATAACTTTCTACTAAAAAAGTACTACCAGCAGTACATAATTTTCAGTTATGAAGTGTTGAAACAAATTCCTCATTTCAATCAACATGTTTTTAAAGTTATTTATTTATTCCAGTGTTCTTTAAAACATGTTTATACCTATTACATTAGTTTTTTACACTTTGATTTGAGTCCTCAGTTTTTAACATACTTTCTATAAATTATATTTAGCAAATTGAACTGTCCTGCTCTTGAGAAATAAATTTTGTTTTTTATTTGTCACTAAAACAAGCTAGTTTCTTTTTCATTGATTAAATTATTTATATATTGAATTGTTGATTATTCATAATCATGGAGGTGGTTCTGAATGAGTTTCAGGTAAACATAAGTAATCAAAGATAGAATGGGAAATAAAAAGAGCACAATGTGCAAGGAAAAATGTGCTAGTTGACTTTTTTCATCTTCTATTCTTCTTAATACAAAATGATAATCATGTAATATCTTAATTTATTATTTTGTGAAAATTTCTCTCTGGAGCCCTTGGTTTATGTTTATCCCTACAGCGCTGATAATACAGGTTATTGCCATTAAAATTCAATCTTTTGTGGAGTAAAAATATTGAGATCAATTTTTTCAGTTGTTGAGCATATTAACAGATTTACCATTCCTACTTCTTTTTCTTTTTCATCCTCCTCTGTGCCTCTCAGCGTGGAGGTTCTTCGATCCAAGCTTTTCATCTGTCCCGGTCCCTCGCCAATGCCCTCATGGAATCCAACTGCTTTCTCCTTTTCTCTCCTAGTCGAGCTACATTATCCAGCCACGACATCCTTGGCCTGCCTCTTGTTCTTTTGCCAGTCGGTCTACCTTCGAAGGACTTGTGTGGTCCACGGTCTTCATCCATTTGGCATGTATGTCCGAACCACTTGAACTGCTTCTTCTCAAGAATTTCAGTTAGTGGTTTCACCCGTGTTCAGCCGGCTACTTTTTGAAGGTATTTCATTTCTGAGGCAGTGATTCTATTGCTAAATCTGACGAAAAGGACCCAGCTCTCACTTACTTATAGTAGAGTAGGAAAGTAAATATCATTGAAAATGTGTAGTTTTACTTTTTTATCAACTTCACGTTTCCAAACAACGGAATTGCAGATTTAGTAATAAATGTTGTTTGCTTTTTTAATCCTGTTAGATATTTCTTGTTGAATTTTACCATCTCTGCTAATAACTGTACCTAGGTACGTGTAATCCTGCTGCCTCTATGTTTTCTCCTCTGCAAGTAATCTGTACATCTTTAGGTTCTCGTCCAATTTTCATGACTTTACTTTTACTTGTATTTATAATCATGTCTTTTATCTTCAGCTGTGCTTCCCATTTCACTACAGCTTGCTGAAGATTCTGGACGGAGTCCGCTATGAGTACAATATCATCGGCATAGAGAAATGTCTCAGCAAGAACTCTTCTCAAATTCCATTTTCCTACTACTGTTCGTACCACCCTTCTTTTATATATTTTCAATACCTCGTACATCAGAACAATAAAAAGAAGAGGGCTCAGACTTTTTCCCTGTATGACACCTCTCTTCATATCAAAGCTCTTAGACTCCTTTCCAGTCCTGACTTTACCCTTTGAGCCCTTATACAAAGATTTTATGGCTTCTATAAGTTCTGAAGGGACGTTCTTTGTCTTCAATGCATTCCATATTTTCGACTCTTGGTAGTGAATCAAAAGTGGCTTGCAGATCTAAAAATGCTAATTATACTTATTATCCCTATCCCATGCCTTTTCTATGATAGTCTTCAGTGAAAATATTTGGTCCTGGGTCTATCTAAATGGTCTGAATGCATTGAATGCATTGCAGCATGCTCTTCTTCAAGGTCCTTTTCTACTACGATGCCATGAGGATCATTTTCTCCTTGATTATATTA